GCTAACTTAGGTTACTTAGAATATCGTGTCAATACAGTTAGCCTGCTAACTTAGGTTACTAAGAATACATTGTCAATTTATACAATTTCAGTTTCAATTCAAACTTTCTCTATGAACTATGGAAAGTTAGCTGGCTAACTCTTTGATCCTGCTTTGTGACATCATAGCCCCCCGAACTACCACCAATATCAATCAAACAGCAGAATCTCTATCTCCTCTCCTCTCCTCTCATTTACATTTACATTTACGTCATTTAGCAGACGCTCTTATCCAGAGCGACTTACAAATAGGTGCATTCACCTTATAGCCAGTGGGATAACCACTTTACACATTTTTTTTTGGGGGGGGGGGGGGGGTAGAAGGATTACTTTATCCTATCCCAGGTATTCCTTAAAGAGGTGGGGTTTCAAATGTCTCCGGAAGGTGGTGAGTGACTCCGCTGTCCTGGCGTCGTGAGGGAGCTTGTTCCACCATTGGGGTGCCAGAGCAGCGAACAGTTTTGACTGGGCTGAGCGGGAACTATGCTTCCGCAGAGGTAGGGGAGCCAGCAGGCCAGAGGTGGATGAACGCAATGCCCTCGTTTGGGTGTAGGGACTGATCAGAGCCTGAAGGTACGGAGGTGCCGTTCTCCTCTCCTCTCCTCTCCTCTCCTCTCCTCTCCTCTCCTCTCCTCTCCTCTCCTCTCCTCTCCTCTCCCTCCTCTCCTCTCCTCTCCTCTCCTCTCCTCTCCTCTCCTCTCCTCTCCTCTCCTCTCCTCTACTCTACTCTACTCTACTCTACTCTACTCTACTCTACTCTAGAGCTCTGCTACATGATCTTAGCCTGACAGTCCCAACATTATACATTGGGTTAGGGCCGGGTAGGGTCTGTTTTTTCATCAATAAACTGATCACTAAATTGATCACAAAACTTTTGAAGCTGAGCCATTTGCTCGTACAGCCATATCTGACTCAGGTTTCGGGCAGGGCCTTAAATTTGGCAGAAGCAATCAGGCCTGGGTAGGGTAGGGCCTGAACGTTGCAAACATGGTTTGGGCTCGGTGTCACACCCTGGCTCTGGGACTCTATATGTTGAGCCAGGGTGTGTTCATTCTATGTGTTCTGTTTCTATGTTGGGTGTTTCTAGGTCGTCATTTTCTATGTTTGACTGAGTGACTCCCAATCAGAGGCAACGAGTGTCAGCTGTGTGCTGGTTGTCTCTGATTGGGAGCCATATTTAACTGTCTGTGTTTCACTTTGTGTTTGTGGGTTTTTGTTCCTTGTCGGTCTTTGTCACCGTGGACTTCACGAGTCGTTTATTGTTTTGGTTTTGTGCTTTAATATAATAAAGTATCATGTTCGCTCAACACGCTGCGCATTGGTCTACTTCGCTTCAAGACGATCGTGACAGAAAAACCCACCATAAAAGGACCAAGCAGCGTGTCCAGGAGCAGGCAGACTGGACATGGGAGGAAGCGCCAGGAAAGGAGATGGAGAGGCTGGCGATGGCCCAGGTGGGCAAATCGTGGTCCTGGGAGGACATGCTCGGGGGCAAGGGACCTTGGGGTAGGATTAAGGCCCTGGCGAGAGAGGAGCAGCGGCGTCAGCAGTGCCATCGTCGGACGGACGAGAGGCACCCCCAATAATTTTTTAGGGGGGGGCACACGGCATGGGCGACTGGGCAGCAGGAGGCTGCCACAGGGCGAAATGGGAGACGAGGAGAGAAGGCCACCGGGTTACGGGAGCCATTGGCGAGAGGAGGGAAGGAAGTTGTAGAGGCACGGCGAGAGGTACTGAGGTGAATTGCCAGTCCGGTCCGGCCCGTTCCTGATCCCCGTTTAAGGCCAGTGGTGTGTGTTCCCAGTACGGTTCGGCCTGTTCCTGCTCCACGCACCAAGCCTACGGTGTGCGTCGCCAGCCCGACCCGGCCTGTTCCTGCCACTCGCACCAAACCTACGGTGTGCGTCGCCAGCCCAGCCCGGCCTGTTCCTGCTCCACGCACCAAACCTACGGTGTGCGTCGCCAGCCCAGCCCGGCCTGTTCCTGCTCCACGCACCAAGCCTACGGTGTGCGTCGCCAGCCCTGTCCGGCCTGTCCCTGCTCCACGCACCAAGCCTACGGTGTGCGTCGCCAGCCCAGCCCGGCCTGTCCCTGCTCCACGCACCAAGCCTACGGTGTGCGTCGACAGCCCAGCCCGGCCTGTTCCTGCTCCACGCACCAAGCCTACGGTGTGCCTCGCCAGCCCAGCCCGGCCTGTCCCTGCTCCACGCACCAAGCCTACGGTGTGCGTCGACAGCCCAGCCCGGCCTGTTCCTGCTCCACGCACCAAGCCTACGGTGTGCGTCGCCAGCCCAGTCCGGCCTGTCCCTGCTCCACGCACCAAGCCTACGGTGTGCGTCGCCAGCCCAGCCCGGCCTGTCCCTGCTCCACGCACCAAGCCTACGGTGTGCGTCGTCAGCCTGGTCCAGCCCGTTCCTGCCACTCGCACCAAGCCAGGGGTGCGAGTCGTCAGCCTGGTCCAGCCCGTTCCTGCCACTCGCACCAAGCCAGGGGTGCGAGTCGTCAGCCTGGTTCAGCCCGTTCCTGCTACTCGCACCAAGCCCGGGGTACGAGTCGTCAGCCTGGTAAAGCCCGTCGCTGCTCCACGCACCAAGCCTAGGGTGCGAGTCGTCAGTCCGGCACAACCCGTGCCTAGGTCATCGGTGCCAATTCAGGTACCGCTCAACTGCTCCACTAAGGAGCTGAAGCCTACCGCTCCTGCTACGTCCAGTCCAGCTCCAGCCAGCGGGGCCAGACCGGACCAGGGGCGCTATGGGGGGTTTGTTGGAGGGTGGTGGGCAAGCCCGGAGCCGGAGCCGCCGCCGAGGAGGAATGCCCACCCAGCCCTCCCCTGTTTTGCTCGTATTTAGGCGCGGTCGCAACCCTGGCTCTGGGACTCTATATGTTGAGCCAGGGTGTGTTCATTCTATGTGTTCTGTTTCTATGTTGGGTGTTTCTAGGTCGTCATTTTCTATGTTTGACTGAGTGACTCCCAATCAGAGGCAACGAGTGTCAGCTGTGTGCTGGTTGTCTCTGATTGGGAGCCATATTTAACTGTCTGTGTTTCACTTTGTGTTTGTGGGTTTTTGTTCCTTGTCTGTCTTTGTCACCGTGGACTTCACGAGTCGTTTTTGTTTTTGTTTTGTGCTTTAATATAATAAAGTATCATGTTCACTCAACACGCTGCGCATTGGTCTACTTCGCTTCAAGACGATCGTGACACTCGGGCTTAAAATTCATGTCCGTGCAGGGCTCTACTCTACTCTGCTCTGTGTAATCTCTGTGGCCAGTGATATTCTGAATGTCAATATTCAATCAAACTCTGAATGCAAGATCCTCTCAATGTGGTGTTTCCACCCCCAGAGTGATGCTGTATGTCTTGTTCGGGATCTGATGCTACGATGTTTTTGCTGTGCGTGTGTGTGTGTGTGTGTGTTGACCATGTGTCTTACTCTGTCCTGTAACTATGTTTATAATATTGTTTCATTCCACAGTACATCCCAGCTGCACCTGTACATAGTGTTACAGTACATCCCAGCTGCACCTGTACATAGTGTTACAGTACATCCCAGCTGCACCTGTACATAGTGTTACAGTACATCCCAGCTGCACCTGTACATAGTGTTACAGTACATCCTAGCTGCACCTGTACATAGTGTTACAGTACATCCCAGATGTACCTGTACATAGTGTTACAGTACATCCCAGCTGCACCTGTACATAGTGTTACAGTACATCCCAGCTGCACCTGTACATAGTGTTACAGTACATCCCAGCTGCACCTGTACATAGTGTTACAGTACATCCTAGCTGCACCTGTACATAGTGTTACAGTACATCCCAGATGTACCTGTACATAGTGTTACAGTACATCCCAGCTGCACCTGTACATAGTGTTACAGGCTTTGGTTTTTCCATTTATGTTTTGAGGTTGGACTTTAGCACGTATAGCTCGTTAGGACATAGGGCGTGACGATTGGTGTCACCTCGTTAGTCAGTATGTGTTACACCTGTGCTGGCTGCCATCTCGTTAGTGGGAAGGTGTTTCACCTGTGCTGGCCCAAGTGCTATTTAAGAGTGGCTGGTCCAGTGTTCCAGTTGTCTTGATAGATGTGGAGGGTTAACACCTTTTAGTTGTCTTGATAGATGTGGAGGGTTAACACCTTTAGTTGTCTTGATAGATGCGGAGGGTTAACACCTTTAGTTGTCTTGATAGATGTGGAGGGTTAACACCTTTAGTTGTCTTGATAGATGTGGAGGGTTAACACCTTTAGTTGTCTTGATAGATGTGGAGGGTTAACTCCTTTAGTTGTCTTGATAGATGTGGAGGGTTAACACCTTTAGTTGTCTTGATAGATGTGGAAGGTTAACACCTTTAGTTGTCTTGATAGATGTGGAGGGTTAACACCTTTAGTTGTCTTGATAGATGCGGAGGGTTAACACCTTTAGTTGTCTTGATAGATGTGGAGGGTTAACACCTTTAGTTGTCTTGATAGATGTGGAGGGTTAACACCTTTAGTTGTCTTGATATAAAAACTGCTTGACTGTGGTTGCAATACAATGTTTTTATGTTTGGAATAATTTCAATAATAATCACCCCATACCCATCACTCAGTGACAACAATATGGTTCTATACAGAGTTAAGATTTATTAGAGACATTATTACATTATCAGCTAACATCATCGCTGGGTCAGAGGACAAAGATATTTTAGCCAATCACAAAGCTTGTCCATCTGCTAATGACGAATCAAATGAGAGCTTACTGGATATACGTCCTACAGCGCTGGATGGGGAGTAAAGGGACGTTTTAGACTTTCTCTCTCTCTCTCTCCCTCCCTCCCTCAACCCTGATAATGGTATTCATCCTGTCCCCATGTCCTCTCTCTCTCCCTCCCTCAACCCTGATAATGGTATTTCTCCTGTCCCCCATGCCCTCTCTCTCTCCCTCCTCTTTAGCTCCCCTCTCCTCCCTTCCTCTTCCTCACTGCTCTCTCTTCTGCTGTCCGTCTTTGATGATAATGTTTTTGAACAGCGTGAGCAGTGGTTTCTGGCTACGTTCGTCCCAGCTCTTCATGAACCCTCCATAGCGCTTACTGGTTGCCGGTCCGCTCCAGCGGAAGTGGTTCATCTTGTACGAGCCGTCTTTCTTCTCCTGAAGACTAAACTCCCCACCCAGGCCCTCTGCCTCGCCACCCAGGCCCTCTCCCCCCTCCGCGGCCCCAGCCTCCAGGGAGGGGTACATGGCCTCTTTGGTGCCCAGCTCTCGTCTCATCTCGCTGGGGAAGCCCTCGGAGGACTCCTCCTCCACGCCGTTGGTGTAAACCTTCACCGGGCGGCGCTTCTTGCCCACAGGCTTCCCCCAGCGGAAGTGTTCCATGGAGTAGGAGCGCTTGGACTGGGGGGACACGCTGTTTTGCTGCTCCAAGTGGGACAGGGGGGAGGAGGAGAGGGGGGACAGAGGTAAGGAGGGGGAAGGAGAGTCAGAGTCGGCGGGGGGGGGGGGTTGGAGATGTACCTTGCCAGGGAAGATGGGAGATTCGGCAGTGAGGTCAGAACGACAGAGCTGGATACACTCCTGGGAGGAGGACGATAGGAGGAGGGAGAGGGGAGGGGGAAGAGAGGGGAGGGGGACGACCGGAGAGGGGAGGGGGGAGGAGCGGAGAGGGAGAGGAGAGGGGAGGGAGAGGGGAGGGAGACGACCGGAGGAGGAGGGGGGGAACCGAGGATAGGGGAGGGAGAGACGGAAGAGGAGGGGAGGGGAGGGGGAGAGAGAGAGGAGAGGGGGAAGAGAGGGGAGGGGGATACGAGAGAGGGAGGGGAGGGATAGAAGGAGGGAGAGGGGTAGAGGAGGGAGGAGGAGATGGAGGGAGGGGGGGTGGAACGAGAGAGGAGAGTGAGGGGGAAGAGAGTGAGGTGGAGAGGGATAGGAGCGGGGAAGGGAGGGGGGGGAGGTGATACGAGGGGAAAGGGAGGGGGGGTCGGGAAAGGAGGGGAGGGGGAGGGGGGTGGGGAAGGGGAAAAGGGGGGCGACCGGCCGATGGGGAGAGAGGGGAGGGGAGCCGGGAGAGGGAAAGGGGGGCCACAAAAGGGGGAGACCCGAGGGGGGGAGAGGGGGGAGACTGGGGAGGGGGAGTGGGGGGGGGCGAGAGGAGGGGAAAAGGGGGCAAACGTAGGGAAGTGAGGAAGACCGGAGTAGAGTTGGAAGTGAGTTTTTCTTCATTTAAGAGAGGAGGAGGGAGATGGGGGTTAGGTGGATAACAGTAAAATACTGTAACACTCTCGTAACCGCTCTTTTACATACTGGAGCTGGGATTCAATGTGAATATTTCTGATTGGAACATTGCCTTTAAAAGCCACTATGCCCTATAACCTGCAATCGGATTAAATCCCGGCCTTGAGCTTATAACTTTTCAAAAACATTGCGCTCTCTGCAACGTTTCTAACTCACCAGGATGTTGTTCTCAGAGCTGAGGTCTTGACAGCGAGGGTTCTCCCAGCACTGACCTTTAACCCCGCCGACCACACCCACCACAGCCACAGCCAATAACCACGCAGGACACAGCATATTCACCCTGCACACAGGAAAAACACAGTTATACTGCATTCATGACAAGTTGGAAACTCAGAACCTCTGAGTTAAAATGTAAATAACTTAATTGCGTAGAGCTTTCTATTGGTTGATTCTAATACTTTACAAGTGGGAAACTCTGATATCAATTTTTCTACAAAGAGTTTCCATGTCGGAAATGTCCCAGTTTTCTAGTTCCGACATGTCTTGAATGCAGCATTATACTGACCCACTCATGAATGTCATCATAAATTAAAGAACGGTAGATGAGTGTGACAAACATGCAGGTTGATGTTTATTATCATGAGTCAGAACTGAGCGATTTCCCCTAAGATAGGCTAGCTGCAAAGTCAAAATTGGCTACATTGTAAAGATTCATGAAAACAAAAATGTGCTTTTTGGTCTTAATTTAAGGTTAGGGTTAAGCATTAGGGTTAGCAGTGTGGTTAAGGTTAGGGTGAAGGTTAGGGTTAAATCAGATTTTATGACTTTGTGGCTGTGCCAGCTAGTGACCACTGCAGAGCTGCCTTCAGAACAAGATTCATGACGAAAAATGCTAACCTTCGACAAAAATGTGTCCCTAGAGGACATATGCATTTTAAAAAAGAATAGCTTCGTCATGTCGAGATCACAACTTATTTATCTCATGATCATGACATAACAAAAGCTGTTTTGTCGAGATCACGAGATACATACACTCCTATTTATAGAGTTTATTAATGATAGTATGGCTAGAGGTGGCAGAGCCCATTATGGATCAGCGCATAGGTTTTTATTGATTGCTACACTAAGGGATGGTACATTTCATGCTAACGTCATGCTTTAATTTGTGTTTTGATCAGTTTATAAGTTAGAATGTTAGCAAGCTAAATGTCCCTTATACGGAAGTCCAGAGAGGACATATGACAACAAAGTTGTTTTGTCGAGATCAAGACATAATTTTCTTGTGATCACGACATAGCAAAAGTTGTTTTGTCGAGATCATGAGATAATCAAAAGTATCAAGCATCATCCATTAAATTTGTTCAGATGCACGATAACCACCTCATCAAGGAGCCCTGTGGCTGCGTTGATAGCGATGCGGGGCATTTAAGCCCTGAACGATGCCTGACAGGCAGCCCTGTCTCCCAGGCTGCGCGCTGCCCCCCAAGACCACAGCCAATCGCATGCAAGGAACAACGCAGCTAACTTCGCTAGTCTTGTGGTAGCTAGTTAGCTAGATAGTCTTGATAACTAGCTTGTTATCTATGCTGGTTGTTAGCGTGCATAACTTATATGTGTATAACTATAAGGGGCACTCATGTTTTATGGATAATATTTACATTTAATGAGGTATACCTGGAGAAAATCGGATATCTCTGAAATTAAAATGGCTGGCCCTCCCTTCAGTAAAATATATATTTTACCCTCCACTATACCCAAAAGAATAATTAAAACCTAAAGTGGATAGCAGGACTGCCTACCGTTTACCCCACCCAGGACAAGACCACAGCTTAGAATGCCGTTTGAAAACTGTTCTTTGTGTTTATAAGCATACATGCAAAGTAGCCAGAAGGTTGTGGATTGCAGACCACCGGGCCACAAGGGTTGACAAAGATATACATTATAATAAAAGCACTGCATGAATCTATCATCTTATTTGTGGTCTTTCATGCAATTCTACGTGATTTTACATGACTGGAGACAAGCAGAATCTTTTTTATTACCACAACAGAGCATGACAACAAATGAGCGCATGCTGCAGAACCAAATATGTTTTGATTTCTATACAGGCTATTGTTAAGTTTGGAACAGTGCAAAAGTTGTCTATCAAATGTAAATATATATATAATATATATAGATATACTACCGTTCAAAAGTTTGGGGTCACTTAGAAATGTCCTTGTTTTAGGAAGAAAAGCATTTTTTTTGTCCATTAAAATAACATCAAATTGATCAGAAATACAGTGTAGACATTGTTAATGTTGTAAATGGCTATTGTAGCTGGAAACGGCAGATTTATTATGGAATATCTACATAGGCGTACAGAGGCCCATTATCAGCAACCATCAGTCCTGTGTTCCAATGGCACGTTGTGTTTGCTAATCCAAGTTGATCATTTAAAAAGGCTAATTGATCATTAGAAAACCCTTTGCAATTATGTTAGGGCAAAAGAACACAGACACTGGACAGAGGAAGATTGGAAAAAAGTGTTATGGACAGACGAATCGAAAGTTTGAGGTGTTCGGATCACAAAGAAGAACATTTGTGAGACGCAGACCAAATGAAAAGATGCTGGAGGAGTGCTTGATGCCATCTGTCAAGCATGGTGGAGGCAATGTGATGGTCTGGGGGTGCTTTGGTGGTGGTAAAGTGGGAGATTTGTACAGGGTAAAAGGGATCTTGAAGAAGGAAGGCTATCACTCCCATTTTGCAACGCCATGCCATACCCTGTGGACGGTGCTTGATTGGAGCCAATTTCCTCCTACAACAGGACAATGACCCAAAGCACAGCTCCAAACTATGCAATAACTATTTAGGGAAAAGCAGTCAGCTGGTATTCTGTCTATAATGGAGTGGCCAGCACAGTCACCGGATCTCAACCCTATTGAGCTGTTGTGGGAGCAGCTTGACCGTATGGTACGTAAGAAGTGCCCATCAAGCCAATCCAACTTGTGGGAGGTGCTTCAGGAAGCATGGGGTGAAATCTCTTCAGATTACCTCAACAAATTGACAACTAGAATGCCAAAGGTCTGCAAGGCTGTAATTGCTGCAAATTTACATTTTAGTCATTTAGCAGACGCTCTTATCCAGAGCGACTTGCAGTTAGTGGAGGATTCTTTGACGAAAGCAAAGTTTGAAGGACACAATTATTATTTCAATTAAAAATCATTAAATCTAACCTTGTCAATGACTACATTTCCTATTCATTTTGCTATATTTCCTATTCAAACTCATTTGATGTATGTTTTCATGGAAAACAAGGACATTTCTAAGTGACCCCAAACTTTTGAACGGTAGTGTGTGTATATATATATATATTTGAGCGTAACAGAACCAGAACCAACAGAACCAGTTTACAACTGAAGTATCAATGGATTTCGAGGAAAAAGCCATTCATTCTTCAACACAGCAGCCACATATCAACACTCGTAACTTGTTTTCATTTGGGGAAACTATCATTTTCTGATTTATTCTATTCTATTCCATGATATTGTTGTTACAAAATAGATTTGTGTTGACTGTGATTAGGGCGTCTGCTAGGTTAAATTAACAAGCTAGGCATGCATAACTCACCACATGATCCTCAAACCAAAGACTGGCCAAACTCGTGTTTCTAAAAGGTGAATTCAAAGGCACTGTAGAATGACTGTATAGCCTAATAAGGCATTTTAAGTATCATTGTATTAGTTCTAAGCAATTACAATTTTATACAGCCTAAATGCTAAATTTATAGACATGTTGTTGAAGTGCTGTTGTTGATGTGTTGTTGTTGATGTGTTGTTGATGTGTTTTTGTTGATGTGTTGTTGTTGTTTTGTTTGTTGGTGTTGTTGATGTGTTGTTGTTGATGTGTTGTTGGTTGTTTGATGTGTTGTTTTGTTGGGGATGTGTTGTTTTTGTTGATGTGTTGTTGATGTGTTGTTTTTTTTTTTTTTTTTTTTTGATGTGTTGTTGTGGATGTGTTGTTGAAATGCTGAGCTCTCCTGCCAGCTTGTAATTTGTCACAAACGGCCATAATAAGACCATAATAACTAATGTGTAACTTTTGACCTGTCCCTTACAAGGGGTGAGCTCCATTCCTGACAGACTGATCAGATTCAATAGCAGCCTCAGAGGCTGATAAGTCAGGATAACTGCCTTGTAGGCTGTCTTCAAGGAACCTTACACATGAAACAGCCTACAAGGCAGCATCCTGACTTATCAGCCTCTGAGGCTGAAATTGAATCTGATCAGCCTGTCAGGAATGGATCTCAGCCACTGTAAATGTAAATATTATCCACAAAACATGAAGAGTCCCTTAGAGTTGAAGTCGGAAGTTTACATACACCTTAGCCAAATAGATGGGAGACAGGGCTGCTTGTCAGGCATCGTTCAGGGCTTAAATGCCCCGCATCGCGATCAAAGCAGCCACAGGGCTCCTTGATGAGGTGGTTATCGTGCATCTGAACAAATTAATGGATGATGCTTGATACTTTTGATTATCTCTTGATCTCGGTAAAACAACTTTTGTTATGTAGTGATCATGCGATAAATAAGTTGTGATCTCAACATAACGAGGAATTATATTCATTGGATTTATTTATCCATAGGTCCTCTCTGGACTTCAGTACTGATGACTCAATGACACTTGGTATTTACCCTCTACAGGCTCATGGCTCAGGTGACTGACTGACTGGCTGGTTGACTGACTGGCTGGTTGACTGACTGGCTGGTTGACTGACTGGCTGGTTGACTGGTGGACTGACTGGCTGGCTGACTGACAGACTCAAGGACTGACTGACTGACTGGTGGACTGACTGGCTGGTTGACTGACAGACTCAAGGACTGACTGACTGGCTGGTTGACTGGTGGACTGACTGGCTGGTTGACTGGTGGACTGACTGGCTGGTTGACTGGTGGACTGACTGGCTGGTTGACTGACAGACTCAAGGACTGACTGACTGGCTGGTTGACTGGTGGACTGACTGGCTGGTTGACTGACAGACTCAAGGACTGACTGACTGGCTGGCTGACTGGCAGACTGAAGCACTGACTGACTGGCTTAGTGGCGGACTGACAGACTGACGGACTGGCTTGCTGACTGAGAGACTGAAGGACTGACTGACGAACTGACTGGCGGACTGACTGGCTGACTGACTGGCGGACTGATGGACTGACTGGCTGGCCGACAGACTGGAGGACTGATGGACTGACTGGCTGGCCGACAGACTGGAGGACTGACGGATTGACTGACTGACTGAATGGCTGACTGACTGACTGGCTTGCTGACTGATTGACTGACTGGCTGACTGGCTGGCCGACAGACTGAAGGACTGACTGACGGACTGGCTGATTGACTGGCTGACTGACTGACTGACTGACTGGCTGACTGATTGACTGGCTGATTGGCTGTATGAGCTAACACCATTTATCTCACTTTTTATGGAAGGAAGTAAAGAATATATACATTTGTCTTATTTACAATAAGATGGAACCCCAATGGATAGCATGGAACCCCATGGATAGCATGGAACCCCATGTGATTTAGTCAAATAATGAGCATTTAGTAAAATAATCATGTTAATTAATGGCAATCATTTTAAATGACTAAATAATTATATACTTTTTTCAAAAAAATGAATAATTACTAGATTAATGGGAATATTAACTTCAGAATTCAGTGTTCCGTTTTCGTTTATAATCATTCTCAAATCAAAAGATGATAAACCTGATGTCACTAACCTGTTGCAAAAGTCTTCTGTTCTCTTCTCTCTCTCTCTCTCTCTCTCTCTCTCTCCTCCGACCAGTCTATCACTTTTCTCTTCCGAGGAGTTGTCCACTTCAGCACTGTTGTCCGTCCGTCTGTATGTGTCTGTGTGTGTCTGTCTCTGTCCGCTCTTTTATACCTGAACCTGAGTGACGGAGGTTCCCAAGACCACCCGGAGCCACGGGCCACCCCCTCCACAGCCCTTAACCCTTCCCTTATGTTGCAGGACAATTTGACAAACACACACCACTATAATGAGTGTCCAATGCATAACAACCATTTAGAGAACCATGTCCAATTTTTGTCCACCAGTTAGGACTTGAATGTCACTAGCGTGGACAGGTGGGCACACACACACACACACACACACACACACACACACACACACACACAGGTGAATTATCAAGTGTATTATCAAGAGTCTGCCATGCTGTCAGAAGAGGAAGCTTGTTGTCTGCATGCTGAAGGTGAGGGTATGGAATTACTCTGGTCTGAATGGTTCCAGGGCTCTGACTGACATCTGGCAGTTGGTGGCTCTTTGTCTGCTGGCTGAGTAGCATGAACACCCTTTCCTATGTGGATTAACACCTTTAAGAGGCTGGGTGACAGACAGGATGGAGCCACTGGAGATGGAAGGAGGAGGGTGGCTGGTAGAAGAGGGGCATAAGGGTAAAGGGGGAAGAGGAGATGAGATGGAGAGATTGGCGAAGGAGGAGAAACGTGGGGAGGAGGAGGAGGAGGGTGGCTTACTGGCTAGTCCGGGTGTCAGGAGGGTCATGAGTCACAACCTCTGTTGACCTCTACTCAGTGATTCAGCAGTTCAACAGGGACCTGCTCTCTGTCAATGGCCATTCACATTAAATTAAATTCACACGCACACACACACACACACACACATTGGTGACGAGGTCTCAGAGTGCCTAACTTCCTTCTAATTGTAAACATGGACAAGAGGACGTCCATTAGTGCACCGTCTGACCTCGCTGTGGTCCTGCAGATTGACAAACAAACAAAAACACACACGCGCACTGCGGACACAAAGAGCTGAGTGGTTGTGGAGTGCATGGAGGAGGCATTTAGTGAATGACCTCTGATGGAAACGCACAAGTACATCTGAACGTCTCCTCTTAGATGGAACAGTTTATTGACAGAGTTTACCATTAAGACAAAATGTGAAAAAAATAAAACGTTTTTTATATATATATATACAGTGGGCGAAAAAAGTATTTAGTCAGCCACCAATTGTGCAAGTTCTCCCACTTAAAAAGATGAGAGAGGCCTGTAATTTCCATCATGGGTACACGTCAACTATGACAGACAAAATGAGGAAAAAAAATCCAGAAAATCACATTGTAGGATTTTTAATGAATTTATTTGCAAATTATGGTGGAAAATAAGTATTTGGTCAATAACAAAAGTTTCTCAATACTTTGTTATATACCCTTTGTTGGCAATGACACAGGTCCAAACGTTTTCTGTAAGTCTTCACAAGGTTTTCACACACTGTTGCTGGTATTTTGGCCCATTCCTCCATGCAGATCTCCTCTAGAGCAGTGATGTTTTGGGGGCTGTCGCTGGGCAACACGGACTTTCAACTCCCTCCAAAGATTTTCTATGGGGTTGAGATCTGGAGACTGGCTAGGCCACTCCCAGGACCTTGAAATGCTTCTTACGAAGCCACTCCTTCGTTGCCCGGGCGGTGTGGTTTGGGATCATTGTCATGCTGAAAGACCCAGTCACGTTTCATCTTCAATGCCCTTGCTGATGGAAGGAGGTTTTCACTCAAAATCTCACGATACATGGCCCCATTCATTCTTTCCTTTACACGGATCAGTCGTCCTGGTCCCTTTGCAGAAAAACAGCCCCAAAGCATGATGTTACCACCCCCATGCTTCACAGTAGGTATGGTGTTCTTTGGATGCAACTCAGCATTCTTTGTCCTCCAAACACGACGAGTTGAGTTTTTTAACCAAAAAGTTCTATTTTGGTTTCATCTGACCATATGACATTCTCCCAATCCTCTTCTGGATCATCCAAATGCACTCTAGCAAACTTCAGACGGGCCTGGACATGTACTGGCTTAAGCAGGGGGACATGTCTGGCACTGCAGGATTTGAGTCCCTGGCGGCGTAGTGTGTTACTGATGGTAAGCTTTGTTACTTTAGTCCCAGCTCTCTGTAGGTCATTCACTAGGTCCCCCCGTGTGGTTCTGGGATTTTTGCTCACCGTTCTTGTGATCATTTTGACCCCACGGGGTGAGATCTTGCGTGGAGCCCCAGATCGAGGGAGATTATCAGTGGTCTTGTATGTCTTCCATTTCCTAATAATTGCTCCCACAGTTGATTTCTTCAAACCAAGCTGCTTACCTATTGCAGATTCAGTCTTCCCAGCCTGGTGCAGGTCTACAATTGTGTTTCTGGTGTCCTTTGACAGCTCTTTGGTCTTGGCCATAGTGGAGTTTGGAGTGTGACTGTTTGAGGTTGTGGACAAGTGTCTTTTATACTGATAACAAGTTCAAACAGGTGCCATTAATAGAGGTAACGAGTGGAGGACAGAGGAGCCTCTTAAAGAAGAAGTTACAGGTCTGTGAGAGCCAGAAATCTTGCTTATTTGTAGGTGACCAAATACTTATTTTCCACCATAATTTGCAAATAAATTCATAAAAAATCCTACAATGTGATTTTCTGGATTTTTTTTCCTCAATTTGTCTGTCATAGTTGACGTGTACCTATGATGAAAATTACAGGCCTCTCATCTTTTTAAGTGGGAGAACTTGCACAATTGGTGGCTGACTAATTACTTTTTTCCCCCACTGTATATATATATATATATATATATTTATATATATTTTTTTTTAGGTTGTAGATCAGCTTTAATATTGCAGATAGATTGTGACTTCCATCAATGTAATTGTCTGCATCAATTCCATCAATGTAATTGTCTGGGGGCTGCCTGAATCAAGGGCAGAACAGCAGATTTTTCTCATTTTCCGGCTCGGGGATTCGAACCAGCGACCATTCGGTTACTGGCCCAACACTCTTACCCGCAAGGCTACCTGCCGCCAAATGGATCAATAACAAAGAGAGTTCCAAACCTCTCTGCCAATAACAGCTAGTTTCTATATCCCTCCAATAAGGACCCTTACTTAGACCACTCCACAGTCCTAGCTAAATCCTTGCTTGAGAAATAGTTTTTTGCTAATTTCTAAAAACATTACAGTAAGGTACTAAGTCGTTACTCAGAAATGATTTGATATTGAGATAAAATCAATGTTCCCGGGCCAATCCCGGCTCCTGCGTTCGCAGAGATCCCATTCCATCATAAATTGCCTTTAAAATGCCCATAACCCGTGATCTGATTGAAACCCGGCCCAGGTTGGACATGGTAAATACCTGATAGATATGGATCAGGTTGGACATGGTAGCCCACTAACACACCTGATTCAGGATGACTTATTTCTAGCCCACCACTAACACCTAATTCAGGATGACTTTAGTTCCAGCCCACCACTAACACACCTGATTCAGGATGACTTTTTCTAGCCCACCACTAACAACCTAATTCAGGATACTTTAGTTCCAGCCCACCACTAACACACCTGATTCAGGATGACTTTATTTCCAGCCCCACCACTAACCACCCTGATTCAATGATGACTTTAGTTCCATGCCCACCACTAACACACACCTGATTCAGGATGACTTTAGTTCCATCCCACCACTAACACAACCTGATTCAGGATGACTTTAGTTCCAAGCCCACCACTGAACACAACCTGATTCAGGATGACTTTAGTTCCAGCCCACCACTAAAACACACACTGATTCAGGATGACTTTAGTTCTAGCCCACCACTAAACACACCTGATTCAGGATGACTTTAGTTCCAGCCCACCACTAACACCACCTGATTCAGATGACTTTAGTTCCAGCCCCCACCCACTAACACACCTGATTCAGATGACTTTAGTTCCGGCCCACCACTAACACACCTGATTCAGATGACTTTAGTTCTAGCCCACCACTACACAACCTGATTCAGGATGACTTTAGTTCTAGCTCACCCACGACACACACCTGATTCAGGATTGACTTTAGTTCTATCTCACCACTAACACACTGATTCCAGGATGACTTTAGTTTTAGCCCACCACTAACACACCTGATTCAGGATGACTTTAGTTCTAGCCCACCACTAACACACCTGATTCAGGATGACTTTAGTTCCAGCCCACCACTAACACACCTGATTCAGGATGACTTTAGTTCTAGCTCACCACTAACACACCTGATTCAGGATGACTTTAGTTTTAGCCCACCACTAACACACCTGATTCAGGATGACTTTAGTTCTAGCTCACCACTAACACACCTGATTCAGGATGACTTTAGTTCTAGCTCACCACTAACACACCTGATTCAGGATGACTTTAGTTTTAGCCCACCACTAACACACCTGATTCAGGATTACTTTAGTTCTAGCCCACCACTAACACATCTGATTCAGGATGACTTTAGTTCTAGCCCACCACTAACACACCTGATTCAGGATGACTTTAGTTCTAGCCCACCACTAACACACCTGATTCAGGATGACTTTAGTTCTAGCCCACCACTAACACACCTGATTCAGGATGACTTTAGTTCTAGCCACCACTAACACACCTGATTCAGGATGACTTTAGTTTCTAGCCCACCACTAACACACCTGATTCAGGATGACTTTAGTTCTAGCCCACCACTAACACCTAATTCAGGATGACTTTAGTTCCAGCCCACCACTAACACACCTGATTCAGGATGACTTTAGTTCTAGCCCACCACTAACGCACCTGATTCAGGATGACTTTAGTTTTAGCCCACCACTAACACACCTGATTCAGGATGACTTTAGTTCCAGCCCACCACTAACACACCTGATTCAGGATGACTTTAGTTCTAGCCCACCACTAACACACCTGATTCAGGATGACTTTAGTCCATGCCCACCACTAACGCACCTGATTCAACTAGCCCGCAGACTTGTGTGGTGATTCGGGTTGGCAAAATTCCTGTAAACTTTCCTAAAAAATTCCCCCGGTTTTTCCAAAAAATCCTGGTTAGAAGATTCCTGGAATTACGAGAAAATAAGCAGGAAATCCATCAACTTCCAAACAGGATTTTTGGGAAAGTTACCGGAATTTTGCAACCCTAATCATAGACCTTCGTGGTGATTCCCCAGTAGTTGCATAGTGGTGTGATGTACCTAACGCTATCGTTCCAAGGTTTACCAAACAGCAGGTGATGCTGTTGTTCAGTGTTCATTTAGGTGAATGTTCGTGAACAGAGCACAACATTCAGAGGCCACTGAAACTGCCTTCTTTGACTTAGAAACTGCCTGTACACATAATGAAAGATATGTGTGTGTGTGTGGTTGTGTGTGTGTGTGAGGTTGCGTGTGTGTGTGTGTGTGTGTGTGTACAGTACATTACAGTAAGGTAGCTGTGACGCTGTGTAGTCTAATGTCTCTGTGCTGAATCCTATTACAGAGGATTATGGGGATAAGATGTCTGCTCAGGACTCTGACACACTGTCGCTTTCCTCTAGGAGACAGAGAGAGACACACAAACCTCACACACACAGAGAGAGAGACACACACACCTCACACACACAGAGAGAGACACACAGAAACACATTTCGAACACTCACTCAGCCTGCTGCTTTTCCAATAAGGAGTTGTCACCGTCCACAGAAAGGTAGGAAGTATTTTTTATCTATTGAGAGAGAGAGAGAGAGAGAGAGAGAGAGAGAGAGAGAGATCATTGAGCTAGAAGGAGAGAGGGAGAGAGACGGTGAGAGAGGCTTTATGACTAACTGCAAAAAGAAATGGCCTCTTTATGATTATCGCTCTTTACTGCTCGTCTGTGTGTGTGTGTGTGTGTGTGTGTGTTGTGTGACAAACGCACACTACTGACTAAGGCCACACCCACAAACAATGGTTAGTTCGATGGATATTGATAGCCAGCACTTGTCTCTTTTCTAAGGGGGAAGTTGTTCAGGTCCGATGGTGGTGCTGACTCAGTTATGCTAACTAATCCACACCTGAACCGTAGATACTGTAAACCACTCAGAGACACGGGAAGCAGCTGTCTGTGTTAAGGATGATTAGAGTGGTTATGGACACAGGGCACTAGTTAAACAAGTTCTATAATCTAACTAAATCTAGCTAATCTAGCAGACCACATGCACCCACTTAGCCATCACATACATGCTCTAGTTAGTATGAGAGAGAAAGAGAGAGCGAGAGAGAGAGAGAGTGAGTGAGTGAGAGTGAGTGAGTGAGTGAGTGAGAGAGAGAGAGAGAGAGAGAGAGAGTGAGTGAGAGAGAGAGAGAGAGAGAATGATGAAAGAGAGAGAGAGAATGATGAAAGAGAGAGAGAGAGACAGAGAGAGAGAGACAGAGAGAGAGAGACAGAGAAAGAAAGAGTGAGGAAGGGCCAGAGGAAGATATAGAGAATGAGGTTGGAGGATAGAGTGTTGAGTCACAGACAATATTCATTAGTGTTGAGTCACAGACAATATTCATTAGAGTGTTGAGTCACAGACAATATTCATTAGAGTGTTGAGTCACAGACAATATTCATTAGAGTGTTGAGTCACAGACAATATACACTACATCTCCAGCAGTATGTGGACACCTGTTCGAACATCTCATTCCAAAATCATGGGCATTAATATGGAGTTGGTCCCCCCTTTGCTGCTATATCAGCCTTCACTCTTCTGGGAAGGCTTTCCACTAGATGTTGGAACATTGCTGCGGGGACTTGCTTTCATTCAGCCACGAGCATTAGTGAGGTCGGGCACTGATGTTGAGCCATTAGGCCTGGCTCGCAGTCGGCGTTCCAATTCATCCAAAGGTGTCCGATGGGGTTGAGGTCAGGGCTCTGTGCAGGCCAGTCAAGTTCTTCCACACCGATCTCGTCAAACCATTTCTGTATGGACCTCGCTTTGTGCACGGGGGCATTGTCATGCTGAAACAGGAAAGGGCCTTCCCTACATTGTTGCCACAAAGTTGGAAGCGCGGAATCGTTTAGAATGTCATTGCTGTAGCATTAAGAGTTCCCTTCACTGGAACTAAGGGGCCTAGCCCGAACCATGAAAAACAGCCCCAGACCATTATTCCTCATCCACCAAACTTTACAGTTGGAAAGGTGGCATCCAATTACGGTGTCATGTTGAAAGTCACTGAGCTCTTCAGAAAGGCCATTCTACTGCCAATGTTTGTCTATGGAGACCGCATGGCTGGGTGCTGAAATAGCCGAATCCACTGATGTTGTCTATACAGTGTATATATATGACAGCCTATCTAGGGGTTCTATATATATACATTAAGTGGTCGAGTGGAGAGTAGGCCATTAAACCTTAGTCAGGAGCTCATCTTAACCACCAATTATGGTCTCTGAAAGGCCTAGAGAGGTCGTAGGAGCGATTAGGATTGCTGTGGTCTGACCGCATTATACCAGGTCTAGTGAGGTCACATGATCTGTAGAAACAGTGAAGGAATACCAATGGGATACAGAGGGAGAGAAAGAATGAACGGAGAGGAGAGGAAACGGAAAGAGGGTAGATAGAGGAGAGAGATAGAGAGAGAGAGAAGAGAGAGATAGAGAAAGAGAGAGAGAGGAAAGGGGGGGGGAGAAGATGGAGAAAGAGAGAGACGATAGAGAAGAGAGAGATATAGTAGGAGAGAGAGAGAGCGCGACTATAGAGCTCGGAACTCCTGCATCGCCTCTCAATGCGACAGCATGAGACAGATCCTCTACAGATCTAACCTCTAGAGATTCCACAGAGACAGAGAGAGAGGAGAAGACAGGGAAAGAGAGAGAGAGTAATGCTGAATAAGGTGTTGGCCCAGTAAGTAGTTGTATATAGGCTATGGGGTCGTAACCTGCTGATCTGCCTTGTGGTGAGTCCATAATGGGATTCCCTTCTCAGAGAGGAAGCTTCCGGTGACAGTGCATTCGGAATGTATTCAGACATTTACATTACATTTACATTTACGTCATTTAGCAGACGCTCTTATCCAGAGCGACTTACAAATTGGTGCATTCACCTTATAGCCAGTGGGATAACCACTTTACAATTATTATTTTTTTGTGGGGTAAGGGGGGTTTAGAAGGATTACTTTATCCTATCCCAGGTGTTCCTTAAAGAGGTGGGGTTTCAAATGTCTCCGGAAGGTGGTGAGTGACTCCGCTGTCCTGGCGTCGTGAGGGAGCTTGTTCCACCATTGGGGTGCCAGAGCAGCGAACAGTTTTGACTGGGCTGAGCGGGAACTGTGCTTCAGCAGAGGTAGGGGAGCCAGCAGGCCAGAGGTGGATGAACGCAATGCCCTCGTTTGGGAGTAGGGACTGATCAGAGCCTGAAGGTACTGAGGTGCCGTTCCCCTCACAGCTCCGTAGGCAAGCACCATGGTCTTGTAGCAGACCCCTTGACATTTTCCACATTTTGATTCATTACAGCCTCATCAATCTACACACAATACCCCATAATGACAAAGAGAAAACAGGTTTTTAGTAATTTGAATAAAAAACACAAAACCCTTATTTAAATAAATATTCAGACCCTTTGCTATGAGACTCGAAATTGAGCTCAGGTGCATCCTGTTTCCATTGATCATCCTTGAGATGTTTCTACAACTAGATTGGAGTCCACCTGTGGTAAATTCAATTGATTGGACATGATTTGGAAAGGCACACACCTGTCTATATAAGGTCCCACAGTTGACAGTGCATGTCAGAGAAAAACCAAGCCATGAGGTCGACGGAATTGTCCGTAGAGCTCAGAGACAGGATTGTGTCGAAGCACAGATCTAGGGAAGGGTCCCAAAACATTTCTGCAGCGTTGAAGGTCCCCAGTAACACAGTGGCCTCCACCATTCTTAAATGGAAGAAGTTTGGAACCACCAAGACTCTTCCTAGAGCTGGCCGCCAGGCCAAACTGAGCAATCGGGGGAGAAGGGCCATGGTCAGGGAGGTGACCAAGAACCCGATGGTCACTCTGATAGAGCTCCAGAGTTCCTCTGTGGAGATGGGGGAACCTTCCAGAAGGACAACCATCTCTGCAGCACTCCACCAATCAGGCCTTTATGGTAGAGTGGCCAGACGGACGGCACTCCTCAGTAAAAGGCACATGACAGCCCGCTTGGAGCTTGCCAAAAGGCACCTAAAAGACTCTCAGACCATGAGAAACAAGATTCTCTGGTCTGATGAAACCAAGATTGAACTCTTTGGCCTGAATGCCAAGTGTCACGTCTGGAGGAAACCTGGCACCATCCCTACGGTGAAGCATGGTGGTGGCAGCATCATGCTGTGGGGATGTTTTTCAGCGGCAGGGACTGGGAGACTAGTCAGGATCGAGGGAAAGATGAGTACAGAGAGATCCTTGATGAAAACCTGCTCCAGAGCGCTCAGGACCTTAGACTGGGGCGAAGGTTCACCTTCCAACAGGACAACGACCCTAAGCACACAGCCAAGACAAAGCAGGAGTGGCTTCGGGACAAGCCTCTGAATGTCCTTGAGTTGCCCAGCCAGAGCCTGGACTTGAACCCAATCGAACATCTCTGGAGAGACCTGAAAATAGCTATGCAGTGACACTCCCCATCCAACCTGACAGAGCTTGAGAGGATCTGCAGAGAAGAATTTGAGAAACTCCCCAAATACAGGTGTGCCAAGCTTGTAGCGTCATACCCAAGATGACTCAAGGCTGTAATTGCTGCCAAAGGTGCTTCAACAAATTACTGAGTAAAGGGTCTGAATACGTTTTTTATTTGTAATACATTTGCAAACATTTCTAAAAACCTGTTTTTGCTTTGTCATTATGGGGTATTGTGTGTAGATTGATGAGGGGGAAAAAAAAAACAATTTAATCAATTTTAGAATAGGGCTGTAATGTAACAAAATGTGGAAAAAGTCAAGGGGTCTGAATGCTTTCCAATTGCGCTGTACATATAGTTGAAGTCGGAAGTTTACATACACCTTAGCCAAATATATTTAAAATTAGTTTTTCACAATTCCTGACATTTAATCCTAGTAAGAATTCCCTGTCTTAGGTCAGTTAGGATCACCACTTTATTTTAAGAATGTGAAATGTCAGAATAATAGTAGAGAGAATTATTTCTTTCAGCTTTTATTTCTTTCATCACATTCCCAGTGGGTCAGAAGTTTACATACACTCAATTAGTATTTGGTAGCATTTCCTTTCAATTGTTTACCTGGGGTCAAATGTTTCGGGTAGCTTTCCACAAGCTTCCCACAATAAGTTGGGTGAATTTTGGCCCATTCCTCCTGACAGAGCTGGTGTAACTGAGTCAGGTTTGTAGGCCTCCTTGCTCACACAAGCTTTTTCAGTTTTGCCCACAAATGTTCTATAGGATTGATGTCAGGGCTTTGTGATGGCCACTACCTTGACTTTGTTGTCCTTAAGCCATTTTGCCACAACTTTGGAAGTACGCTTGGGATCATTGTCCATTTGGAAGACCTATTTGCGAGCAAGCTTAACTTCCAGACTGATGTCTTGAGATGTTGCTTCAATATATCCACATAATTTTCCTTCCTCATGATGCCATCTATTTTGTGAAGTGCACCAGTCCCTCCTACAGCAAAGCACCCCCACAGCATGAATGCCCATGCTTCACGGTTGGGATGGTGTTCTTCGGCTTGCAAGCACCCCCCTTTTTCCTCCAAACATAACGATGGTCATTGTTTTATCAGACCAGAGGACATTTCTCCAAAAAGTACGATCTTTGTCCCCATGTGCAGTTGCAAACCGTAGTCTGGCTTTTTTATGGCGGCTTTGGAGCAGTGGCTTCTTCCTTGCTGAGCGGCCTTTCAGGTTATGTCGATATAGGACTTGTTTTACTGTGGATATAGATACTTTTGTACCTGTTTCCTCCAGCATCTTCACAAGGTCATTTGCTGTTGTTCTGGGATTGATTTGCACTTTTCGCACCAAAGTACGTTCATCTCTAGGAGACAGAACGCGTCTCCTTCCTGAACGGTATGATGGCTGCGTGGTCCCATGGTGTTTATACTTGCATACTATTGTTTGTACAGATGAACGTGGTACCGTCAGGCGTTTGGAAATTGCTCCCATGGATGAACAAGACTTGTGGAGGTCTACCATTTTTTTTCTGAGGTCTTGGCTGGTTTCTTTTGATTTTCCCATGATGTCAAGCAGAGGCACTGAGTTTGATGGTAGGCCTTGAAATACATCCACAGGTACACCTCCAATTGCCTCAAATGATGTCAATTAGCCTATCAGAAGCTTCCAACACTATGACATCATTTTCTGGAATTTTCCAAGCTGTTTAAAGGCAGTCAACTTAGTGTATGTAAACTTCTGACCCACTGGAATTCTGATACAGTGAATTATAAGTGAAATAATCTGTCTGTAAACAATTGTTGGAAAAATGACTTGTGTCATGCACAAAGTAGATGTCCTAACCGACTTGCCAAAACTATAGTTTGTTAACAAGACATTTGTGGAATGGTTGAAAAATGAGTTTTAATGACTCCAACCTAAGTGTACGTAAACTTCCGACTTCAAATGTACAGTACGTACAACATCCATCCATCTGACAGAGACAGCCAGGCAGAGACAAATAGGTTCCAGGAGAGAGGGGAGGATGGGCTGTGGACAGGAGAGAGGGGAGAATGGGCTGTGGACAGGAGAGAGGGGGAGAATGGGCTGTGGACAGGAGAGAGGGGAGGATGGGCTGTGGACAGGAGAGAGGGGGAGAATGGGCTGTGGACAGGAGAGAGGGGAGGATGGGCTGTGGACAGGAGAGAGGGAGGATGGGCTGTGGACAGGAGAGAGGGAGGATGGGCTGTGGACAGGAGAGAGGGGAGGATGGGCTGTGGACAGGAGAGAGGGGAGGATGGGCTGTGGACAGGAGAGAGGGAGGATGGGCTGTGGACAGGAGAGAGGGGAGGATGGGCTGTGGACAGGAGAGAGGGGAGGATGGGCTGTGGACAGGAGAGAGGGAGGATGGGCTGTGGACAGGAGAGAGGGGAGGATGGGCTGTGGACAGGAGAGAGGGAGGATGGGCTGTGGACAGGAGAGAGGGGAGGAATGGCTGTGGACAGGAAGAGAGGAGGATGGGCTGTGGACAGGAGAGAGGGGAGGATGGGCTGTGGACAGAGAGAGAGGGAGGAGGGGCTGTGGACAGGAGAGAGGGGAGGAGGGCTGTGGACAGGAGAGAGGGGAGGATGGGCTGTGGACAGGAGGAGGCTGGTGTTGCATGAGTGTGCTTTGGCGGAGGATTTAGGGAATGAAGTGTCTGTGTGTCATGGGGGGGCAGTTGGTGTGTGTATCCTGAGTAAATGGTGTGTTTAACTGTGTGTGGTGTGTGTGGTGTGTGTATCAAGGGGCAGATGTGTGTTAAACGTGGGGTGGGTGTGTGCTGTACCTCAGTGAGGCCAGTGAGGATGCTGTCATGAGGAGAGGAGGGTGTCCGGTGAAGGGAGGCTGTTATGGTTCCTTCTTGGCCCACTGGGCAAACTCTAAAGAAGTCTGTCCGACGGTGGGTCTTCTGTCTGGATGGAATAGGCAACCGCTGGACTGATGGAACCACAGCTAGCCTGGGGATGGGCTTGGGGGAAGGGACCTGGCTGTAGAGAAGGGAGTGGCTAAGTGGCGAATTTGGAGGCCAAGTGTTGGGCTGGTAGCAGGGGCCATGCTGTGGACCTGGTCTAGAGGGGGTCTTCTGGACCTGAGAGTTTGGGAGGTCAGGATGAGGACAGGACTCCCTGACCGGTGGCCTTATGGCCCAGGACCGCTGGCAATGGTGACAGGAGACGTGACGATAGCATGTACACACAAACAGAGATGAGTTGAAGACACAAACGCAGATGGACACAGAGACACCCATCAGACTCGGTTGGACACGCCTCCAGAGAGAGCTTGCCCCTGTACAGGACGAGATTCGCCGTGGACACACAGACAGACGACATGATCAACAGTGGACAGGGATCAGAGGACCCATGATTGACCCCCCAGATTCACCGGAGATCTGTGACACCCAGACGGGGAGACCGGCTGACAGAACCCAGGAAGCCTCGTAGAGCAGACGGGTCGTATGGCAGTGGGGGGTACAGTAAGAGATGTGGCCAGAGGCGTGTCGAGTACAAAGCACGTGGGGGGGCGGGGCCATCTCCAATACCAACGTGCCAATCTGTTTCCGCTGCACTGACGATGGTGTCCTTACTGGCTCAATGGAGAACCAGGAAGGAAGCAGCGTGCGACCTCTCCAAGGTGACATCTGTGTGGGGGGTGATACTCTCAGTGAGGCCCGGACGATCTGGTCTGGAGTGACGGTGTCCGGTGAATAGGCTGTATTCTTTCTGCCCCTACTCTAGAAGTCTTCTCCCTGCTGGTCTCTCTGTCTGGATGGAATAAGAGCCAAACACAGCTGGACTGCATGGAACCACAGCTAGCCTGGATGGCTCTGGGTGCAACGGGACCTGGCCTGAGAGAAGACTTGGTCTAAGTTGGTCGAATTTGGAGCCAAGTTTGGGTGTAGCCGCCATGCTGGACCTGGTCTGAGAGGGGTCTTCCTGGACCTGGTTTGGAAGGTCAGGATGAGACTACCTCTCCTGCTACCTGTTGCCTTACTGGCCCTATGGACCGCTGCAATGGTGACAGGAGACTACACATACACAGATACACACCAAGATAGAGTTGAAGACACCAACGCAGATGGACACAGAGACACCCAATCAGACTCAGGTATGGACACGCCTCCAAAAGACTTCCCCCCTGACACACAGACAGATTCCCACAGGGACACACAGACAGACACACATGATCAACATCCGGACTCACACCCAGATTCCCACCCAGATTCCCACCCAGATTCCCACCCAGACTCCCACCCGGACGCACACGAACACCCAGACAGCCATCGTATCAGCAGCGGTCTGATGCAGTGTGGGGAGTACAGTAACGAGATGTTGCCTAACGGTCAGTGTCGAGTCACAGCCACGCTGCCCCAGCTCCAACACCAACGCTGCCCAGACATGTTCCGCTGCACTGACGAGGTGTCCTACTGGCTGCAGGAGAACCAGGAGAGGAAGCAGCAGCTGCAGGACCTCCAGGAGACCATCTCCCAGTTACAGGAGGAACTCCGCAGTCACAGGCACCGCATCAAGGTCCTGGAGCTACAGGTCAGTCACAGATAGAACTAGAAGACTGGGTCTTGGAACTGTAAGTCTGAGTTCTAGAACCACTGGTGAGTCAGTTCTAGAACTACAGGGGAGTCAAGAGTTCTAGAACTACAGTTGAGTCAGTTCTAGGACTGCATAGGTCTGGAGTACATGCAGTTCTGGATCCAAAAGTTGGTCAATGTTTTGTATTTGTTCATGGGACTCCTGAAAGCTAGCAGAAAGCAAATGAGGAAAAACACAAGAACCAAGCCTTCAGCCTCTCCACAATCGTTTGTACCTTCTCACCCTAACTTACTGTCCCTACCTCACTGTCCCTACCTCACTGTCCCTACCACACTGTCCCTATCTCACTGTCCCTACCACACTGTCCCTATCTCACTGTCCCTACCACACTGTCCCTACCTCACTGTCCCTACCTCACTGTCCCTACTTCACTGTCCCTACTTCACTGTCCCTACCTCACTGTCCCTACTTCACTGTCCCTACCTCACTGTCCTTCCCTCACTGTTCCTCCCCCGTCCCCCGACCCACCTTACCTTTCTTTCTCCCCATCCCCCACTTCCCTAACCATCCTGCTCTCTCCAGGTGATAAGTCCTCCTTAACCCTGAATGCTAAAAGGATTAGGCAGCATCCTGCCCCAGCTCCACATGCCTCTCTACCCCTGTCAGAGTGCCCCTCCCTGGGGTTCCGCTCCTCCATACTCCCCCTGGCTATCTTTGGCGACTGGGTTTGGTGCTTACAGTAAATACAGGATACATACAGTACAGCAGGAAGTACAGGCCACATCAGCAGCAGGAAGTACAGGCTACATCAGCAGCAGGAAGTACAGGCTACAGCAGCAGCAGGAAGTACAGGCTACAGCAGCAGCAGGAAGTACAGGCTACAGCAGCCGCAGGAGTACAGGCTACATCAGCGCAGGAAGACAGGCAACATACAGTACAGCAGGAAGTATAGGCTACAGCAGCAGCAGGAAGTACAGGCTACATCAGCAGAAGGAAGTACAGGCAACATCAGCAGCAGGAAGTACAGGCAACATCAGCAGCAGGAAGTACAGGCTACATCAGCAGAAGGAAGTACAGGCTACAGCAGCAGCAGGAAGTACAGGCTACATCAGCAGCAGGAAGTACAGGCAACATACAGTACAGCAGGAAGTACAGGCTACAGCAGCAGCAGGAAGTACAGGCTACAGCAGCAGCAGGAAGTACAGGCTACAGCAGCAGCAGGAAGTACAGGCACATCAGCAGCAGGAAGTACAGGCTGCAGCAGGAAGTACAGGCTACAGCAGCAGCAGGAAGTACAGGGTACAGCAGCAGATGGAAGTACAGGCTACAGCAGCAGCAGGAAGTACAGGCTACAGCAGCAGAAGGAAGTACATGCAACATCAGCAGCAGGAAGTACAGGCAACATCAGCAGCAGGAAGTACAGGCTACAGCAGAAGGAAGTACAGGCTACAGCAGCAGCAGGAAGCACAGGCAACATCAGCAGCAGGAAGTACAGGCTACAGCAGAAGGAAGTACAGGTTACATACAGCAGCAGCAGGAAGTGCAGGCTACATCAGCAGCAGCATCAAATAGCCCCCGCGATATGCAACTTTTCAGGGACGTTAAGAACAAATATACACAAGCAGTCAGGAAAGCAAAGGCTAACTTTTTCAAACAGAAATGTGCATCCTGTAGCACTAACTTTGGGACACTGTAATGTCCATGGAGAATAAGAGCACTTCCTCCCAGCTGCACACTGCACTGAGGCTAGGAAACACTATCACCACCGATAAATCTACAATAATCGAGAATTTCAACAAGCATTTTGCTAAGGCTGGCCATGCGTTCCACCTGGCTACCACTACCCCGGCCACCAGCTCTGCACCCTCCGCTGCAACTTGCCCATGCCCCCCCCCATGCTCACACAAATTCAGACAGCTGATGTTCTGAAAGAGCTGCAAAATCTGGACCCCTACAAATCAGCTGGGCTAGACAATCTGGACCCTTTCTTTCTAAAACTAGCCGCCGAAATTGTCGCAACCCCTATTACTAGTCTGTTCAACCTCTCTTTCGTAACGTCTGAGATCCCCAGAGATTGGAAAGCTGCCGCGGTCATCCCCCTCTTCAAAGGGGGTGACACTCTAGATACAAACTGTTACAGACCTATATCCATCCTGCCCTGCCTTTCGAAAGTATTTGAAAGCCAAGTTAACAAACTGATCACCGACCATTTCGAATCCCACCGTACCTTCTCCGCTATGCAATCCGGTTTCCGAGCTGGTCATGGGTGCACTTCAGCCACGCTCAAGGTCCTAAACGATATTATAACCGCGATCGATAATAGACACTACTGTGCAGCCGTCTTCATCGACCTGGCCAAGGCTTTCGACTCTGTCAACCACCGCATTCTTATTGGCAGACTAAATAGCCTTGGTTTCTCAAATGACTGCCTCGCCTGTTGGGCCTGTTGTCTAGGACCTATGGCAGTCTCTATGGGGGTGCCACAGGGTTCAATTCTTGGGCCGACTCTTTTCTCTGTGTATATCAATGATGTTGCTCTTGCTGCTGGTGACTCTCAGATCCACCTCTACGCAGACGACACCATTTTGTATACATCTGGCCCTTCATTGGACACTGTGTTAACAAACCTCCAAACGAGCTTCAATGCCATACAACACTCTTTCCGTGGCCTCCAACTGCTCTTAAACGCTAGTCAAACTAAATGCATGCTCTTCAATCGAACGCTGCTTGTACCCGCCCGCCCGACTAGAATCACTACACTCGGCGGGTCTGACCTAGAGTATGTGGACAACTACAAATACCTAGGTGTCTGGTTAGACTGTAAACTCTCCTTCCAGACTCACATTAAGCATCTCCAATCCAAAGTTAAATCTAGAATCGGCTTCCTATTTCGCAACAAAGCCTCCTTCACTCATGCTGCTAAACATGCCCTCGTAACTGACTATCCTACCGATCCTTGACTTCAGCAATGTCATTTACAAAATAGCCTCCAACAATCTACTTAGCAAATTGGATGTAGTCTATCACAGTGCCATCCGTTTTGTCACCAAAGCCCCATATACTACCCACCATTGTGACCTGTACGCTGTCGTTGGCTGACCCTCACTACATATTTGTCGCCAAACCCACTGGCTCCAGGTCATCTATAAATCACTTCTAGGCAAATCCCTGCCTTATCTTAGCTCATTGGTCACCATAGCAACACCCACCCGTAGTATGCGTTCCAGCAGGTATATCTCACTGGTCATCCCCAAAGCCAACACCTCCTTTGGCCGCCATTCCTTCCAGTTCTCTGCTGCAAATGACTGGAATGAACTGCAAAGTTCGCTGAAGTTGGAGACACTTATCTCCATCACTAACTTTAAGCATCAGTTGTCAGAGCAGCTTACCGATCACTGCACCTGTACACAGCCCATCTGTAATTAGCCCACCCAACTACCTCATCCCCATATTGTTATTTACATTGTTATTTATTTTGCTCATTTGCACCCCAGTATCTCTATTTGCACATCTTCTTCTGCACATCTATCACTCCAGTGTTAATACTAATTGTAATTATTTTTGCACTATGGCCTAATTATTGCCTTACCTCCATAACTTACTACATTTGCACACACTGTATATAGATTTTCTATTGTGTTATTGACTGTACGTTTTGTTTACCCCATATGGAACTCTGTGTTGTTGTGGTTTTTATTCGCACTGCTTTGCTTTATCTTGGCCAGGTCGCAGTTGTAAATGAGAACTTGTTCTCAACTGGTTTACCTGGTTAAATAAAGGTGACATTTTTTATTTATTTAAGGGAATGTTTTTGCTTTCGTGGAGACTGCATTCACGGTAAACGCTGCATATGTCGGCACAATCGGAAATTACCTTTACATTTCCATTGCGCTATAAAGTGGATCTTACTACGGGTTGAATCTATCCCTAGGACAGGCCACAGTTGAGTTCTTACATGGCCAAAGACAATCATCAATTTTTCTCTGTTTCTCCTTCCGTCTCTCTCCCTCTACCCTCTCTCTCTCTCCTCTCTCGGTCTCTTACTCCCCCTTACCCTCTCTCTCTCTCCTCTCTCGGTCTCTCACTCCCCCTTACCCTCTCTCTCTCTCTCTCCTCTCTCGGTCTCTCACTCCCCCTTACCCTCTCTCTCTCTCTCTCCTCTCTCGGTCTCTCACTCCCCCTTACCCTCTCTCCCTCTCCTCTCTCGGTCTCTCACTCCCCCTTACTCTCTCTCTCTCCTCCTCTCTCGGTCTCTCACTCCCCCTTACCCCGCTCTCTCTCTCCTCTCTCGGTCTCTCCCCCTACCCTCCCTCTAACCCTCTCTCGTCCTCTCACTCCCCTCTCGTCCTCTCTACTCTCTCTCCCTTACCTCTCTCTCTCTCTCCTCCTCTTCTCTGTCTCTCATCTCCCCTTAGCCCCTCGTCTTCTCTCTCCTCTCTCGGTTCTCTCACGTCCTACCCCTTACCCTCTCTCCCGCTCTCGCTCTCCTCTTGTCTCTCAACATCTCCCCGTAACTCTCTCTCTCTCTTCTCTCTCGGTCTCCCTCACCCCCCCCTTACCCTCATCTCCTCTCCTCCTCTCTCGGTGCTCTCACTCCCCCTTCACCCTCTCTCTCTCTCCTCTCTTCGGTCCTCTCTCTCATCCCCCTTAACCCTCCTCTCTCCCTCTCTCGTGCTCCTCACCTCCCCCTTACCCCTCATCTCTCACCTCCTGCTCCTTCTCGGTCTTCTCACTCCCCCCTTAATACGCCTCTCTCTCTCTCGCCTCTGCTCTGGTCTCTCAGCTCGCCGCGCCTTACCCCTCTGTTCTCTCTCTCCTCTCTCATGCTTCTCATCCTCCCCCCATTAATACCCTCATCTCTCTCCTCCTCTCTCGGTCTCTCACTCCCCCTTACCCTCTCTCCCACTGTCTCTAAAGCTAAGCAGGGTCCTGGAAGTAGTTTTTGAGGGCTGGTAGAGGGCTGGTTTTCAGATCAAATCCCAATGTCCCAGGTCATGGGGACATTGCCCTGCGTAGGGTGCCGTCTTTTGGATGGGACGTTAAAAAACGGGTGTCCTGACTCTCTGTGGTCATTGAAAATCCCATGGCACTTATCGTAAGAGTAGGGGTGTTCACCCCTGTGTTCTGGCTAAATTCCCAACCTGGACCCATTTCCATCATGGCCACCTAATCATCCCCTCATTCCTAATTTGCACATATCACTCCCGACCTGTCCACCTGTTAGCTGATGTGTGGTGAGCGTTCTGGCGCAAATTGGTTAGTGTGCATCACCCAAGTGGGTGCTACACATTGGTGGTGGATGAGGTGAGCTTCCCCCTTTTCTATGTGAAGTGCTTTGGGGTGTCTAGAAAAGCGCTATACACAGTGGGTCCCAAAGGTATTGGGACTCTGTACTCCAGCACTTTGGATTTGAAATGATACAATGACTATGAGGTTAAAGTGCAGACTGTCAGCTTTAATTTGAGGCTATTGTCATCCATATCGGGTGAACAGTTTAGAAATTACAGCACTTGTTGTACATAGTCCCCCGATTTTAGGGGACCAAAAGTATTGGGACAAATTGACTTATGTGTATTAAAGTAGTAAAAAGTTAAGTATTTGGTCCCCTAAATATGGATGAAAATACCCGATATGGATGATATGGATGAAAATACCCTCAAATTAAAGCTGACAGTATACACTTTAACCCCATAGTCATTGTATCATTTTAAATCCAAAGTGCTGGAGTACAGAGCCAAAACTACCAAACGTGTCACTGTCCAAATACTTTTGGAGCTCACTGTAAGTCCAATTAATTAATTACAACTACTCTCTCTCTCTCGCTCCCTCCCCCTTCCTCAACCCCCACCCTCTCCCCTCTGTCTTGAATCCAACTCAGCTCTTTATGCTAATGGTAGCTTCCCCTTCCTCCCCCCTCTCTCCCCTCTTCCTCTGTGTTGTAAGTCTTAGCCAAGGCAGACACCTTTAAATCCTGGTAGATATTAAGGACCTGCTCACCGCAGGTGGTCATATGAGACGCGGTCTTGGCATGATAACACACTAACGTGCACAGCATTTTAAGAAAACAAAACAATGTTCCCTCCCTCTCTACCCAACCTCCCTCTCTACCTCCCTCTGTACCCCATCTCTCTCCCTCTCTCCCTCTCTCCATCCCTCCCCACCTCCCTCTCTACCTCCCTCTCTACCCCATCTCTCTCCCTCTCTCTATACCTTCCTCCCTCTCTCTCTCTCTCTCTCTCTCCCTCCCTCCCTCACCTAACCCGAACCTCCCTCCCTCCCTCCCTCACTACCCAACCCCCTCCCTCCCTCCCTCCCTCCCGCCCTCCCTCCCTCCCTTCTCTAACCCAACCTCCCTCCCTCCCTCCCTCCCCTCCCTACCCAACCTCCCTCCGCTCCCTCAATACCCAACCTCCCTCCCTCCCTCCTCTCTCTAACCCAACCTCCTCCCTCCCTCCCTCCCACTCCCTCCTCCCTCCCTACCCTCCTCTACCCAACCTCCTCCCCTCCCTCCCCTCCCTCCCTACCCAACCTCCCTCTCTCCCTCTCTCCCTCACTACCCAACCTCCCTCCCTCCCTCCCTCCCTCTCTGCCCCACCTCCCTCCCTCCCTCTCTACCAAACCTCCCTCCCTCCCTCCCTCTCTACCCAACCTCCCTCCCTCCCTCCCTACCCAACCTCCCTCCCTCCCTCCCTCTCTACCCAACCTCCCTCCCTCCCTCCCTCCCTACCCAACCTCCCTCTCTCCCTCTCTCCCTCACTACCCAACCTCCCTCCCTCCCTCCCTCTCTGCCCCACCTCCCTCCCTCCCTCTCTACCCAACCTCCCTCCCTCCCTCCTCTCTACCCCAGCCTGCCTCCCTCCCCTGCCTCCCTCTCTACCCCACCTCCCTCTCCTCCCTCCCCTCTCTGCCCCACCTCCCTCCCTCTCTACCCAACCTCCCTCCCTCCCTCTCTACCCAACCTCCCTCCCTCTCTACCCAACCTCCCTCCCTCCCTCCCCTCCCCTCCCTCCCTCCCCTCCCTCCCTCCTCCCTCCCTCCCTCCCTCCCTCCCTCCCTCCCTCACTTCCCTCCTCCCTCCCTCCCTCCCTCCCTCCCTCCCTCCCTCCCTCTCTACCCAACCTCCCTCCCTCTCTACCCAACCTCCCTCCCTCCCTCACTTCCCTCCTTCCCCCTCCCTCCCTCCCTCCCTCCCTCCCTCTCCTGCCCCACCCTCCCTCCCTCCCTCTCTACCCAACCTCCCTCCCTCCCCTCCCTCTCTACCCCAACCTCCCTCCCTCCCTGCCTCCCTCTCTAACCCCCCACCTCCCTCTCTACCTCCCTCTTTACCCCCATCTCTCTCCCTCTCTCCATCCCTCCCCACCTCCCTCTCTCCCTCCCTCTCTGCCCCCCACCTCCCTCCCTCTCTACCCAACCTCCCTCCCTCTCTACCCAACCTCCCTCCCTCCCTACCCAACCTCCCTCCCTCCCTCCCTCTCTACCCAACCTCCCCCTCCCTCCCTCCCTCCCTCCCTCTCTAACCCCACCTCTGTTCCTCTCTGCCTCCCTCTCTAACCTCCCTCTGTAACCCATCTCTCTCCCCTCTCCCTCCCTGCCCTCCCTCCCTCCCTCCCTCCCTCTCTACCCAACCTCCCTCCTCTCTACCCAACCTCCCCCTCCCTCCCTCCCTCTCTACCCAACCCCCTCCCTCCCTCCCTCTCTACCCCTCCCTCCCTCTCTACCAACCTCCCTCCCTCCCTCACTTCCCTCCCTCCCTCCCTCCCTCCCTCCCTCTCTAACCCAACCTCCCTCCCTCTCCTCCCTCTCTACCCAACCTCCCTCCCTCCCTCCCTCTCTGCCCAACCTCCTCCTCCCTCCCTCCCTCTCTACCCAACCTCCTCCCTCCCTCCCTCCCTCCCTACCCAACCTCCCTCCCTCCATCCCTCCCTCCCCTCTCTACCCAACCTCCCTCCCTCCCTCCCTCCCTCTCTACCCCCATCTCTCTCCCTCTCTCCATAACCTCCTCCTCGCTCCTCCCTCTCTCCATACTCCCTCCTCTCTACCAACCTCGCCCTCCCCCTCCTCCACTCTACCCAACCTCGCTCCTCCCTCCCTCCCTCCCTCCCACTCTAACCCAACCTCCCTCCCTCCCTCCCTCTCTACCCAACCTCCCTCTCTCCCTCCCTCTCTACCCCACCTCCCTCCCTCCCTCCCCAACCTCCCTCCCTCCCTCCCTCCCTCTCTACCCCACCTCCCTCCCCTCCTTCCCTCCCTCCCTCTCTACCCAACCTCCCTCCCTCCCTCTCTACCCCCACCTCCCTCCCTCCCTCCCTCTACTACCCAACCTCCCTCTCTACCTCCCTCTGTACCCCATCTCTCTCCCTCTCTCCATCCCTCCCCACCTCTCTCTCCCTCCCTCCCTGCCATCCCTCTCTCCCTCCCTCTCTACCCAACCTCCCTCCCTCCCTCCCTCACTAACCAACCTCCCTCCCTCCCTCTCTGCCAACCTCCCTCCCCCCCTCTCTACCCCCACCTCTCTCCCTCTCTACCCCACCTCCCTCCCTCCCCTCCCTCCCTCCCCCTCTCTACCTCCCCTCTCTACTCCATCTCTCTCACTCTTTCCTTCTCTCCATACCTCCCCACATCTCTCTCTGCCTCCCTCTCTCCCCCACCCCCTTACATCCCTCCCTCCCTCTCTCTCTACCCCACCTCCCTTCCTCCCTCCCTCCCTCCCTCCCTCACTACCCAACCTCCCTCCCTCCCTCTCTACCCAACCTCCCCACCTCTCTCTCTCCCTGCCTTCCCTCCCTCCCTCCCTCTCTACCCAACCTCCCTCCCTCCCTCCCTCTCTAACCCCACCTCCCTCCCTCCCTCCTTCCCCAACCTCCCTCCCTCCCTCCCTCTCTACCCCACCTCCCTCCCTCTCTACCCAACCTCCCTCCCTCCCTCTCTACCCAACCTCCCTCCCTCCCTCTCTACCCAACCTCCCCCCTCTCTCCCTCTCTAACCCACCTCCCTCCCTCCCTCCTTCCCCCAACCTCCCCCCTCTCTACCCCACCTCCCTCCCTCCCTCCCTCTCTAACCCAACCTCCCTCTCTACCTCCCTCTGTACCCCATCTCTCACCCTCTCTCCCTCTCTCCATCCCTCCCCACCTCTCTCTCCCTCCCTCCCTGCCATCCCTCTCTCCCCCCTCCCTCCCTGCCATCCCTCTCTCCCTCCCTCTCTACCCAACCTCCCTCCCTCCCTCACTACCCACATCCCTCCCTCTCTACCCAACCTTTCTCCCTCCCTCCCTCTCTAACCCTCCCTCCCTCCCTCCCTCCCTCCCTCCCCTCCCTCCCTCCCTCCTCTCTACCCACACCTCCCTCCCCCTCCCTCTCTACCCCAACCTCCCCTCCCCTCCTCTCTACCCCCCTCCCCCCTCCCTCCCTCTCTCCCTCCCCCTCCCTCTCTACCCCACCTCCCTCTCTACCTCCCTCTCTACCCCCTCTCCTCCTCCCTCTCTCCCTCTCTCCATCCCTCCCCACCTCTCTCTCTCTCTCCCTCCCTCTCTGCCCCACCTCCCTCCCTCCCTCCCCACCTCCCTCCCTCCCTCACTACCCAACCTCCCTCCCTCCCTCTCTCTCTAACCCAACCTCCCTCCCTCCATCCCTCTCTCTCTCTCTACTCAACCTCCCTTCCTCCTTCTCTACCCCACCTCCCTCCCTCCCTCCCTCTCTCTCTACTCAACCTCCATTCCTCCCTCCCTACCACCCACCTCCCTCCCTCCCTCTCTACCCAACCTCCCTCCCTCCCTCCCTCCCTCCCTACCACCCCACCTCCCTCCCTCCCTCTCTACCCAACCTCCCTCCCTCCCTCTCTACCCCCACCTCCCTCCCTCCCTCTCTACCCCACCTCCCTCCCTCCCTCCCTCTCTACCCAACCTCCCTCCCCTCCCTCACTACCCAACCTCCCTCCCTCTCTACCCCACCTCCCTCCCTCCCTCCCTCCCTACCCAACCTCGCTCCGTCCCTCTCTACCCAAACCGCCCTCCCTCCCTCATTCTCTACCCCAACCTCTCTCCCTCCCTCTCTACCCCACCTCCCTCCCTCTCTCTCTCCCTCCCTCCCGGCCCTCCCTCTCTACCTCCCTCTCTGCCCCACCTCCTTCCCTCCCTACCTGTCTACCACACCTCCCTCCCTCCCTCTCTCCCCACCTCCTTCTCTACCAAATCTCCCTCCCTCTCTCCCACACCTCCCTCCCTACCTCTCTCCCCCACCTCCCTCCTTCCCTGATCTATTTAAATGTTACTTTGACTGAGTGTTGTAGGTAAAACAATGTTGTTAACAGTGAGACATTTATTTTATTTACCAAGCAACAAATCATGTATTATCCAATTTATCAAAAACATACTGATAACTATCTCTCTGTCTCTCCCTCCACTCCTCTCTTCCAATCTCCCTCCACTCCTCTCTCCCCCCTCTCTCTCAGGGTGAGGAGAGGAACAACTTGAACGGGTCTTTAGAAGAGCGTTTCAGAGTGTTGGAGCTTCAGTACGCTGAAGCCGACAGCCTGCTGCACACCCACGGTGCCATCCTGTTTGATCTGCAGACTCAGGTCCGGAACCTGACCATGACGGTCGAACGCGTCAAACGCAACCCCGGCTGCATGATCAACATCGTCAGGACCAGCCCTCTGCTCAGCGCCCAGCAGGCCCTTCACCCAGGTACACGCAGGCGCACGCACACCATTATAATGAGTGTCTAATGCATAACAACCGTTTAGAGAACCATGTCCTAGCTTTGTCCACATTTAGGACTTGAACGTCAGCAGCGTGAACAGGTGGAATAACACACACACACACACAGCTGCACACACACTCAATGATACAACAGGGATGCGTCCCACTAGGCACAGACGTCAATTCAATGTCTATTCCACGTTGTTTCAACGTAATTTCATTGAAATGACGTGGAAACAATGTTTGATTCAACAAGTGTGTGCCCAGTGGGATCTCTCTTTCTGACTGCTAATTATTGATGCTAGACAGACAGGTGTGTGTAGCAGCGGAGGCTGCTGAGGGGCGGACGGCTCATAATAATGTCAGGAACGGCGCTAATGGAATGGCATCAAACCATGTGTTCGATGTATTTGATACCATTCCACCTTAATCCGCTCCAGCCATTACCACGAGCCCGTCCTCTCCAATTAAAGGTGCCACTGTAACCGGTGTGAAATGGCTAGCTAGTTAGCGGTTGCGCGCTAGTAGCGTTTCAATCGGTGACGTCACTCGCTCTGAGACCTTGAAGTAGTTGATTCCCCGCGGCTTTTGCGGAGCGACGGGTAACGGCGCTTCGAGGGTGACTGTTGTCGACGTGTGCAGAGGGTCCCTGGTTCGAGCCCACCCAGGTAGGGACGAGGAGAGGGACGAAAGCAACACTGTTACATCACCAACCTCCTGTGGTTTCTACGGGGTCTAGCCCTAACATCTGTGTTAACACTGAACTGGGGTTCATAAGAACTTGTTGTTGTTGTTGTTGTTGTTGAGTCAACAGACATGCAGTTGCTATGTTACGGATAGTCTGTTGACAGTTTGTTTAGAGCTTTTACAGGTGGACTGTCCAAATAAAGTGTTACCAAATAATTTGTTGGCTTTATCCCTCGATCTTGCTGACATGGGTGGAATCATGTGATCCTTCCTTAACCCATAGGAAGTCCCAGCCAGTTGACTACTTCAAAATGGTGAAAGTTCTCAATGACGCTGCCCATGCTAAAACTGGCTTTTTCCGCAAGTGCGCCTTCTATTCAACTCTATGATAACAAGTTATCATCGTTCAGAAATTTTGATGTAGTACATTTACGTCATTTAGCAGACGCTCTTATCCAGACCGACTTACAGCAGTGAGTGCATGCATTTTTCATACTTTTTCGAACTGGTCCCCCCGTGGGAATCGAACCCACAACTCTGGCAATGCAAGTGCCATGCTTAGAACTTCACTTACTTTGCTTTGACCCTGTTGAGTGATGCCATTCTCTCTGACCCCTCCACTCTCTCCCTGAGCCCATGCCCCAGACAGACAGAACAGCAGAGTAACAGCATGTCCCCTCATTATGAAATGATACTACATCAGTAATGAGGGAGTAGCGTATATAGGGCTCAGTCCCTGTCTTTACAGACATCTACTGTAGTAGTCTATATGGCTCAGTCCCTGTCTTTATACAGACATCTACTGTAGTAGTCTATAGGGCTCAGTCCCTTTCTTTATACAGACATCTACTGTAGTAGTCTATAGGGCTCAGTCCCTGTCTTTATACAGACATGTACTGTAGTTAATCATTACATACTGCATCAAACACTTATTATCTGAAATGGAGAGTGTGGAAAAAAGGACTTGTCGATAACGGGGACAACATTTGAACAAATCACACAAACTTCAATCTTTGTTAAAACCAGTCGCATCTGGTTTAATCTTTAACCTGTTAAAACCAGTCAAACCTGGTTTAATCTTTAACCTGTTAAAACCAGTCACACTTGGTTTTTATTTGAAGGTCTTCTTTCCTACCTATTCTACCTCAATGCTGCCGCTGGAAACAAATCGTTGCAATAGTGTTTTATGTTCTAAATTCAAAATGTATTTATTATCTCACTTGTGTCTGTCTGTCTGTCTGTCTGTCTGTCTGTCTGTCTGTGTGTGTGTGTGTGTGTGTGTGTGTGTGTGTGTGTGATGCACGTGTGTGTGTGTGTTTTCCAGAGGTGCAGCATGTGAAGAACTGTCCAATAGACTGTGCATCACTGTACTATAACGGGGTGTATCGGTCAGGTGTCTACACGGTGGTTCCCTCTCTGGGCTCCCAGCCTGTAGAGGTCTACTGTGACATGGACACAGAGGGTAAGACTCACACACACACACACAAACACACACACAGACGCACGCACACACACACACACATATACACACACACAGACACACACACACAGACGCACGCACACACACACACACAGACTCTCACACACACACACACACAGACACAGACGCACGCACACACACACACACACAGACTCACACACACACACACACACACAGACACAGACGCACGCACACACACACACACACACACACACACATACACACAGACACAGACGCACGCACACACACACACACACAGACACAGACACAGACGCACGCACACAGACACAGACACAGACACACACACACACACACACACACACACAGACACACAGACGCACACACACACACAGACTCACACACACACACATTTGATAATAGGGTTGCAAAGTTCCGTGAACTTTCCCCAAAATTCCCTGGTTTTCCAGAAATCCTGGTTGGAAGACTCCTGGAATTATGTGGGAATAAGCAGGAAATCCTCCAACCAGGATTTCTGGAAAACCAGGTGTTATGTTGAGTGTCTGGTATTGAGAAGTTCAGGATAGTAAGATCAGTCGACACTCAGCTGGAAGGTTGATTTACATTTATTTCAGTACTGGATTCTATGACAAGGTGCACGTGTTTCGCCTCGTCATATGAATGACTTCCATACAAAATCTCTCAGTTTACATAACGCCCTTCCAATCTACTTTTATCTTACACAGTTGCTAAACCATTATTGATTGTCACTCATCCACCACCATATCATCTACCTCCTTGGTGTCGTGTGGCACCCTAGCCAGGCCATTCCATCACGCACACCATCCTAAGACTAGCACCAGTGGCCCCCCCCAATCTATCTTGGCACACTGACCTTCTGTTACTCACTCGTGACACCAATTAAAAACATGGTGTGTCCTTGTTCTCTGTCCCTCCTACAGCTTAGGAGTTTACACACATTAATGAATCCTTTATCAAAACTCGTTATAACACCAGGGAATTTTAGGAAAAGTTCACGGAATTATGTAACCCTATTATCAAATGTGTAATGCATTCTTAGTACAACATCAGTGACCTTATCAAGGGCTTGACCTCTTGGTGTAAATGGCTAATGTTGGCCTGACAGACAAGGTGTGTGTCGCCTCTCTGTGTCAGGTGGTGGTTGGACGGTGTTCCAGCGGCGTCAGGATGGGAAGGTGAACTTCAATAGAGGCTGGCAGGACTATAAAGAGGGATTCGGAGAGCTTAGGTACGTCATAATAATTGATTCATTGCCAAGTTAATTTGGTTAATTATCAAGTTAATTCACAGTTGAGTTAGTTTGGTAATTGACCGTTACTGACTGGCCAGCCAGCCAGAGATGAATTCTACTCACCAGGGTTCTGAATCAGTGTCTGATTAGAGGGTTTGATTCGCGGGACCACCCATACGCACAAAATGTATGCAAGCATGACTGTAAGTCACTTTGGATAAAAGTGTCTGCTAAATGGTATATGTTGTTTGTCAAGTGTTTTGCAACGTTGTGGGAAATGTAGTTTGAAAGAAGTTTGATGTGGTTTGGTTGTGAAGTCTGAGTATGAGACTGACTTCCGTGTAGTTCTAGGACTCGGACTCCCCTTTAAAAGAACTCCGACTCCCCTTTAATAGAACTCCGACTTCCCTTTAATAGAACTCAGACTCCCCTTTAATAGAACTCCGACTCCCCTTTAATAGAACTCCGACTCCCCTTTAATAGAACTCCGACTCCCCTTTAATAGAACTCCGACTCCCCTTTAATAGAACTCCGACTCCCCTTTAATAGAACTCCGACGCCCCTTTAATAGAACTCCGACTCCCCTTTAATAGAACTCCGACTCCCCTTTAATAGAACTCCGACTCCCCTTTAATAGAACTCCGACTTCCCTTTAATAGAACTCCGACTCCCCTTTTAATAGAACTCCGACTCCCCTTTAATAGAACTCCGACTCCCCTTTAATAGAACTCTGACTCCCCTTTAATAGAACTCCGACTCCCCTTTAATAGAACTCCGACTCCCCTTTAATAGAACTCCGACTCCCCTTTAATAGAACTCTGACTCCCCTGTAGGTCTGAGTACTGGCTGGGGAATGAACACATCCACCACCTGTCCACCCAGGGAGACTACAGCCTCAGGATAGACCTGGAGGACTGGACACATCACCACAAACACGCTTTCTACCAGAGCTTCAGGTATAGTACAACACACAACACACACACGTTAGCCTACCTGCCTGCATGTGTGAGCATGTTAACCCTCTCCTGTGTGTGTGTGTAGTATTGAGGATGAGGGGAACCACTACCGGCTGCATGTGTCGGGCTACAGTGGGACAGTAGAGGACTCGTTCAGCTGGTACCATGATAAACAGGACTTCAGTACTCCAGACACAGGGGATATCTGTGCTGAGATCTCACACGCTGGCTGGTGGTACCACCAGTGTTTCTATGCCAACCTCAATGGAGTCTACTACAAGGTAGCGTATACACACACACACACATCATTGACACACACACACACACACATCATTGACACACACACACACACACACACAGTGCATTTGGAAAGTATTCAGACCCCTTGACTTTTTCACATTTTGTTACGTTACAGCCTTATTCTGAAGTGGATATACATAGTTTTCCCCCCCTCATCAATCTCCACACAACACCCCATAATGACAAAGCAAAAACAGTTTATTTGGTATTTTTTGCAAATTTATTAAAAATTAAAAACGAAAAAAAATCAAATTTACACAAGTATTCAGACCCTTTACTCAGTACTTTGTTGAAGCACCTTTGGCAGCGATTACAGCCTGGAGTCTTCTTGGGTATGATGCTACAAACGTGGCACACCTGTATTTGGGGGGGTTTCTCCCATTCTTCTCTGCAGATCCTCTCAAGCTCTGTCAGGTTGGATGGGGAGCGTCGCTGCACAGCTATTTTCAGGTCTCTCCAGAGATGTTTGATTGGGTTCAAGTCCGGGCTCTGGCTGGGCCACTCAAGGACATTCAGAGACTTGTCCCGAAGCCACTCCTGCATTGTCTTGGCTGTGTGCTTAGGGTCGTTGTCCTGTTGGAAGGTGAACCTTCACCCCAGTCTGAGGTCCTGAGCACTCTGGAGCAGGTTTTCATCAAGGATCTCTCTGTACTTTGCTCCATTCATCTTTCCATTGATCCTGACTAATCTCTCAGTCCCTGCCGCTGAAAAACATCCCCACAGCATGATGCTGCCACCATCATGTTTCACCGTAGGGATGGTGCCAGGTTTCCTCCAGACGTGACACTTGGCATTCAGACCAAATAATTCAATCTTGGTTTCATCAGACCAGAGAATCTTGGTTTCTCATGGTCTGAGAGTCCTTTAGGTGTCTTTTGGCAAACTCCAAGTGGGCTGTCATGTGCCTTTTACTGAGAAGTGGCTTCCATCTGGCCACTGTACCATAAAGGCCTGATTGGCGGAGTGCTGCAGAGATGGTTGTCCTTCTGGAAGGTTCTCCCATCTCCACAGAGGAACTCTAGAGCTCTGTCAGAGTGACCATCGGGTTCTTGGTCACCTCCATGACCAAGGCCCTTCTCCCCCGATTGCTCAGTTTGGCCGGGGGGCCAGCTCTAGGAAGAGTCTTGGTGGTCCAAACTTCTTTCATTTAACAAAGATGGAGGCCACTGTGTTCTTGGGGACCTTCAATACTGCATAAATGTTTTGGTACCCTTCCCCAGATATGTGCCTCGACACAATCCTGTCTCGGAGCTCTACGGAAAATTCCTTCAACCTCATGGCTTGGTTTTTGCTCTGACATGCACTGTCAACTGTGGGACCTTATATAGACAGGTGTGTGCCTTTCCAAATCATGTCCAATCAATTGAATTTACCACAGGTGGACTCCAATCAAGTTGTAGAAACATCTCAAGGATGATCAATGGAAACAGGATGCACCTGAGCTCAATTTCGAGTGTCATAGCAAATACTTATGTAAAACTTATGTAAAATACTCTGTAAATGTGATATTTAAGATTATTTTTTTTTATAAATTTGCTATAATTTCTAAAAACCTGTTTTCTTTGTCATTATGGGGTATTGTGTTTAGATTGATGAGGGGGAAAAAACGATTTAATCAATTTTAGAATAAGGCTGTATTGTAACAAAATTACAGTCAAGGGGTCTGAATACTTTCTGAATGCACACACACTTACACTTCCAAATTGCAGCCAAAGCAATAGTAAGGTTATTTGCATCAGACGTGGTTGTCTGTGTGTTTCTGTGTGTGTGTGTGTGTTTCCTGTGTGTGTGTGTGTGTGTGTGTGTGTGTGTTTGTGTGTGTGTGTTTCTGTGTGTGTGTGTGTTTCTGTGTGTGTGTGTGTGTGTGTGTGTGTGTGTTTCTGTGTGTGGGTGTTTTCTGTGTGTGTGTGTGTGTGTGTGTGTGTGTGTTTCTGTGTGTGGGTGTTTCTGTGTGTGTGTGTGTGTTTGTGTGTATTTTTGTGTGTGGGTGTTTCTGTGTGTGTGTGTGTTTTCTCTGTGTGTGTGTGTGTGTGTGTGTGTGTTTCTGTGTGTGGGTGTTTCTGTGTGTGTGTTTCTGTGTGTGTGTGTGTTTCTGTGTGTGTGTGTGTGTGTGTTTTCTGTGTGTGGGTGTTTCTGTGTGTGTGTGTGTGTGTGTGTGTGTTTCTGTGTGTGGGTGTTTCTGTGTGTGTGTGTGTTTGTGTGTATTTTTGTGTGTGGGTGTTTCTGTGTGTGTGTGTGTGTGTGTTGTGTGTGTGTGTGGTGTTGTGTGTGTGTGTGTGTGTGTGTGTTTGTGTGTGTGTGTGTTGTTTCTGTGTGTGGGTGTTTCTGTGTGTGGGTGTTTTCTGTGTGTGTGTGTGTTTTCTGTGTGTGGTGTTTCTGCTGTGTGTGTGGTTTGTTTGTGTGTGTTTTTTGTTTGTGGGTGTTTCTGTGTGTGTGTGTGTGTGTGTTTCTGTGTGTGTGTGTGTGTGTGTGTGTGTGTGTGTGGTGTGTTTGTGTGTTGCAGGGCGGGCGCTACTCGTCTAAAGCTAAGACTCTGCTGGGTCCTGACGGTGTGGTCTGGTACAGCTGGAAAGATTCAGACTACTACTCCCTCAGGAAGACCTCTATGATGATACGACCTAGAACCTTCAGACCACGCCTGTCACCATGACAACAGCCATGACCAACACACCGTCGCCGTGGGAGACCTGCTGAGGACGCTAAGACGTCACCATGGGAGGGACGTGGGGTTGTCATGACAATACAGGAAGAAGAGGTCAAATAGGATGAACGCCATTGGCTGAGGGCTCAGAGGGAAGTCCCGCCCCTACCAGTGGGCCAACAGGACTGTAGAAGACATGTGTAAATACACACACACACGCTGCAATGGGACCAACTGTCCATACATTCTATGAGAGAGTGCATTTCTTTCTACCTTTCAAATACTGTTCCCAGGAACCTTCAGACATTCTGTCCTGTTCTTCCACTGGAGGAACTTATACACACTGTAAATATATATGTACTGTACATTCTGTCCTGCTCTTCCTCTGTCTATACTGTGAATACACACGTACTGTATATCTGTCAACTGTCAGTTTCTTTCAACTGTCTTGTTACCGCTTCATTCGCAATGAGATCTACAGTCATGTGATTAAGGAAGTACACCCCGATATTTGGACACATTGGCATATTTTAGTAAAATTCCAACCACATTCATTGATAAAGGTAACCCAATTGAACAAATCACACAAAAGAAATGTAACTTTAAAAAAAAATGTTATGCAATTAAAATAAACTAAAATGCTATTTCCTTATGTGGGAAAAGTTAGTACACCCCCCCCACCTTTACCGTCACATAAAATGTCTCAAATTAGTATCAGGTGCAACAAAAACAGGTGCAAATGATTAGAACATCATTAGAGAGTAACATGGGAGGGTCCAGCCTTCCATGAATATTAGGAACTTGGTCTGGTTTGGTCTTAACCATCTGGGTGTGTGGTGACACATCATGCCAAGATCCAAAGACCTACCCGAGGCCCTCAGAAGAAAATGATTGATGCCCATGAGTCTGGGACGGGTTACAAATCCATTTCCAAGCAATTTGAAGTACATCATTCCACTGTCCGACAGCTCATCTACAAATGGAGAAAATTCCAGACCACTGGCAATCTACCTAGGACAGGTCGTTCCCACCAAATTCAGCCCAAGAGCTGACCGAAAGATGCTCTCTAAGAACCCCCAGGTAACATCAAGGGATCTACAAGGCTCTCTTGCCACAATCAATGTCGAAGTGCATGAGTCAACTGTCAGAAAGGGACTGCACAAACGTGGCCTACATGGGAGGTCAGGAAGGAAGAAGCCTCTGCTCTCAAAAAAAGAATATCAAGACACGACCGACATTTGCCGTACAACACCTGGGTAAAGACCAAAACTACCGGAATAATGTGCTCTGGACAGATGAGTCAAAGGTGGAGTTGTTTGGCTGCAATGCCAGAGGTCATGTTTGGCGAAAACGAAACACTGCCTTTGAACAGAATAACTTCATAACAACCGTAAAGCGTGGAGGCTGTGGCATTATGGTTTGGGGCTGCTTTGCTGCCTCAGGGCCCTGGCCAACTTGCCATCATTGAGTCAACCTTGAATTCTATATTGTACCAGAGAATTCTTGAGGAGAATGTGAGGCCATCTGTCAAAAAAGCTGAAGCTGAACCGAACATGGATCTCTTGCAACAGGTGATGATCCAAAAACACACAAGCAGAGCTACAACAGAATGGCACAAAAAGAAGAAATGGAGGGTTACGCAATGGCCGGGTCAAGGCACAGACCTCAATCCTGTCTAAATGCTGTGGGGGGCCTGGAAGCTGGCTATGCATGCAAGAAAGCCCTCGAACATGACACAGTTGAAGCAGTACTGTAAAGAGAGGTGGGCAGAAATTCCTCCCAGTCGATGTAAGAGACTGATAGACAGTTACAAGAAACGGCTACATTAAGTTATTTCAGCCAAAGGGGGCAACACCAGCTATTGAAGCTAGGGGTGTACTATTTTTTTTTGTATCTTCTGGTCCATGCTAAACTTGCTCTTTGTAAATATTGTGTCATATGTACAAGTACAAAGCAGAAACTGCTGAACTTAAAGCCCACAGCTTTAAGAAACACAATACATACTAGGAAGTGTTTATCTATTTACACTTTTAAAGCATGAGGGTTAATAACATTGTGTGTGTATATATAATACACAGTTGAAGTCTGAAGTTTACATACACTTAGGTTGGAGTCATTAAAACTTGTTTTTCAACCACTGTTTTTCAAACACATTTCTTGTTAACAAACTATTGTTTTGGCAAGTTGGTTAGGACATCTACTTTGTGCATGACACAAGTAATTTTTCAGACAATTGTTTACAGACAGATTATTTCACTTATAATTCACTGTATCACAATTCCAGTGGGTCAGAAGTTTACATACACTAAAGTTGACTGTGCCTTCAAATAGCTTGGAAAATTCCAGAAAATTATGACATGGCTTTAGAGGCTAATAGGCTAATTGACATCATTTGAATCAATTGGAGGTGTACCTGTGGATGTATTTCAAGGCCTACCTTCAAACTCAGTGCCTCTTTGCTTGACATCATGGGAAAATCAAAAGAAATCAGCCAAGAACTAAGAAAAAAAATTGTAGACGACAAGTCTGGTTCATCCTTGGGAGTAATTTCCAAATGCTTGAAGATACCACATTCGTCTGTACAAACAATAGTACACAAGTATAAACACCATGGGACCACGCATCCATCATACCACTCAGGAAGGAGACGCCTTCTGTCTCCTAGAGATGAACGTACTTTGGTGCGAAATGTGCAAATCAATCCCAGAACAACAGCAAAGGACCTTGTGAAGATGCTGGAGGAAACAGGTACAAAAGTATCTATATCCACAGTAAAACGAGTCCTATATTGACATAACCTGAAAGGCCGCTCAGCAAGGAAGAAGCCACTGCTCCAAAACCACCATAAAAAAAAGCCAGACTACGGTTTGCAACTGCACATGGGGACAAAGATCGTACTTTTTGGAGAAATGTCCTCTGATTAAACAAAAATAGAACTGTTTGGCCATAAGGAGGAATGAGCCAAAATTCAACCCAACTTATTGTGGGAAGCTTGTGGAAAGGCTACCCGAAACATTTGACCCAAGTTAAACAATTGAAAGGCAATGCTACCAAATACTAATTGAGTGTATGTAAACTTCCGACCCACTGGGAATGTGATGAAAGAAATAAAAGCTGAAATAAATCATTCTCTCTACTATTATTCTGACATTTCACATTCTTAAAATAAAGTGGTGATCCTAACTGACCTAAGACAGGGAATTTTTACTAGGATTAAATGTCAGGAATTGTGAAAAACTGAGTTTAAATGTATTTGGCTAAGGTGTATGTACATTTCCAAATTCAACTGTGTATATATATATATATATATATATATATAGTAATGTTTATGTACATTTGTCAGGGTAGACCTATTGTACAGTATTGTCCTGTTGCTTTTACATTTCTATTCAAATTTGCCTTTTAAACTATAAAACGTTGGTTTGACAGACACACACTACAGCATTGTGTGAGCTCTGATGACCCAGTTCTGGCTTGAAGGCTTAGGCACGGGAATAAAGATATCTGTGTAGTGTGTATGTGTGTATACAGTTTGTGTTGTTCAGTCCTTAAGCTCCCCTCCCCTGATAACTTTATCTCCTCTGGCTTATCATAAGCCTCTCTGTCAATGACACAGAGTGGGAGGGAGGAGAAGGAGGATACACACTGAGTATACAAAACATTATCAACACGTGCTCTTTCCATGACATAGACTGACCAGGTGAATCCAGGTGAAAGCTATGATCCCTTATTGATGTCACCTGTTAAGTCCACTTCAATCAGTGTAGATGAAGGGGAGGAGACAGGTAAAATAATCATTTTTAAGCCTTAAGACAATTGAGACATGGATTGTGTATGTGTGTTCCATTCAGAGGGTGAACGGGCCAGACGCACCGTTTTTTTGTCAAGAACTGCAACGCTTCTGGGTTTTTCATGCTCAACAGTTTACTGTGTGTCTCAAGAATGGTCCACCACCCAAAGGACATCCAGCCAACTTGACACAACTGTGTGAAGCGTTGGAGTACCACAGTATGAGTCATAACACCCATAAAACCGGTCAAACAAGAAAATGGATCCAATCATTTTTCCAATAGGAGATTTTAAAAACACCTAAAACAAGGGCTGTGTTTCATGTAGGTTTACCCTGGCGTGACGTTTTTATAACTGTGTAAATCTCTACTTTTATCAATATATCAATATATTCACATGTATTTACCCCCCCCAAAACATTTTTTTTTTTAAACGCTAATTAGCTGCTAATGTGGCTATCATAAAGAACTACAAATGCCATGATGATCTGGACGAGACTGCCGAATCGAGGCAAAGGTAAGAATATCTGGATCACAGGAGGCTGCTGGATTAACTATCTAATGTTAGATAAATGTAGTAATGAATAAATTGGCTACATTTTTTTACATTGACAATCCTGTGAACTGTCTTGTTCTGTTAGCAAAGCTAGCGAGCTAGCAAAGCTAGTCAGCTAGAGAGGACGTGCAGGAGCTTGCAGGGATATGTGTTTTGAATGATGTCTACTTTGATGCTAATTAGCATTTTTCGAATCTGAGAGTAAATAGAGACAAATATATTGATGAGTCACCTTGTCAGAGAGAGGTTTACATGGTTATCAAAATGTCACGCCAGGGTAAGCCTACACGAAACATAGCCCTTATTTTAAGTGTTTCTACAATCCCCTATGGGAAAAATTAATAGTGGAAAAATGATTGGAACCATTTCCATGTTTGACCGCTAGGTTTTATGGGTATTATGACACCTCCACTGTGGGGCTATATTGGAAGTCAACATGGGCCAGCATCCTTGTATCTGGTGTGACCACCATTTGTCTCATGCAGCGCGACACATCTCCTTCGCATAGAGTTGATCGGGCTGTTTATTGTGGCCTGTGGAATGTTGTCCCACTCCTCTTCAATGGCTGTGCGAAGTTTCTGGATATTGGCGGGAACTGGAACACGCTATCGTACACGTCGATCCAGAGCATCCCAAACATGCTCAATGGGTGACATGTCTGGTAAGTATGCAGGCCATGGAAGAACTGGGACATTTTCAGCTTCCAGGAATCGTGTACAGATCCTTGCGACATGGGGCCGTGCATTACCATGCTGAAACATGAGGTTATGGCGGCAGATTTTTTAAACATTTTAGTCATTTTAGCAGACGCTCTTATCCAGAGCGACTTACAGTTAGTGAGTGCATACATAATTTTTATACTGGCCCACCGTGGGAATCGAACCCACAACCCTGGCGTTGCAAACGCCATGCTCTACCAACTGAGCTACATCCCTGCTGGCCATTCCCTCTCCTACCCTGGACGACGCTGGGCCAATTGTGCGCCTCCCCATGGGTCTCCCGGTCGCGGCCGGCTACGACAGAGCCTGGATTCGAACCAGGATCTCTAGTGGCACAGCTAGCACTGCGATGCAGTGCCTTAGACCACTGTGCCACTCGGGAGACATGGCGGATGAATGGCACGACAATGGGCCACAGGATCTCGTCACGGTATCTCTTTGCATTCAAATTGCCATCGATAAAATGCAATTGTGTTCGTTGTCCGTAGCTTATGCCTTCTCATA